TTTGTTAATTTAACGTCTTTGAATGCTTGGGCACATTATTATTCGTTATTCGGAAAATTGAGGAGTAACATCGATATCATCGTACGTAAAAATTTGTTGGTAAATCTTATCTTTATAGAGTAAGTTTTTAATGCGCTGTCGGACATTAATTGATTAATATTCTCATAGACAAATAGCAAATTTATGAGTTATTGATAAAGACTTTGAATCACGAATACTTTGCAACTTTATACATAACTTTATGCACCTACATAAGCGAAATAACTTAAAAAATTATACATGCGCGGAATTTTGCTAATGCCAAGTAGTAAATACCGTTGAATGATAAAGTGACATGATAATGCAAGTGCCCCGGTATGTTGATATTTAATGCAATAGATTTATCAATATTGCATATGTATTTCTTTGACAAAAGTTTTAAAGGTTTCGATGGTTTAACTTTCTAATCATCGAGTTCAAGTTCAACTTATTTGCTTACGGTCTTGATATTTCTTTTCAACCGCATATACTAGCCAAGTATCTTCATACTTAACGACCCATCGAAATACTTGCCAGATTAGATTTCGAATAAAGAAATACTTTAATACCAACATAATAGTAATGCGTACAATAACGAAGCAAATACAAGATTAATGCTAAATATGAAAATGTTTTTAAACAGAGATTTGATAGCATATTTTATTCATAAGATATTGAATAACTTTTTTTCGATTTTTTCTCTCCCCCCCCCCCTCTCTTTTTAATGCATTAGTTAATGGAACGAAATTTCCAGTGATTTAATGTAATTATGTTGTATTAAAATTATTATTTAGGTAAAAAATGTTTATTGAGTAATTAAGATTTATGTCACAGTTTTCAAAGTTTTTTTGTGAAATATTTTGCTAATTTAATTTATGATTGTACTTTACTTATGAATAATCTTATTCGAAGAAGAAAAAAAAACAACAACAAAATTTAATATAATTTCTATTAATAATAACTGCACATATATTATATGTATAATATATAATCAAATGTTTATTCAGGAGAATGATACAAAATCATGATGATATTCTAATAAATATGTATTTACAAATTACAAAATTACATACGATACTTCTTTTATTTCGATGAGATTTAAAAAACAGAAACAAAAAAAAAAAAAGCAATTATTTAAAATGCCATAATGGAATGTCTTTATAATGTCAACTGTTCAACTACTATTAATGCTAGATCGATGAAACATTTATTTATGACTTATTCATTTACAACTAATCAATATAAAGTTTATATGCTAATTTATTATTTTTTGATGAAATGCCTTGTTTTTGCGCGCCATTAAAACTCTTGAAAAGCAGAGAAAATATATTTTACTCTAATAATGTCGTTGCGTTTTAATGACGGAAAATAATTAGAAATTGGACGTTTATTTTAAATAATTCTTTTAATCTATTCAATTAATCATTAATCAAATAAAAATTGTTCATAAATATATTTTTTCATATTCTTTAATAATTTTATTATTATTGCTGTTGTTAACGTATGGAAGATATATTTATCTTTTAAAAATTCTTATCGATTCGCATTAAAAAAATTGTCTATAAAACCAAACTTTCTTAAACCGGCTATGTGAATATTAAAATTGAATGAAATGAGCGAATTATTAAAAAAAAAATAATTAATTTTTCAGTTTTGTTTAATGTTCTGTGCTTTTAATCTTTTTCAAGATTATTTCAACAAGAATTATTCTTCATGAAAGAATATAATTTTTGTTTTTTGTTGTGATCGACGGTGATTCCGATAAGAGTAAATGACAAAAGAATTCAGAATACAGAGATATTATCACTTTAATTTCGATAGTTTCATAATAATAAAAGTGTAAAGAAAGTAATGTAAATACATATGATAAATACATATGCAACCGATTGATTACTTGTTTGTGTAATGTGTGATTATTTGCTGTTTGCACTCTATCTATATAAATTTAGTAAAACATTGTTTCTGTTTCCTTTAAAATATATATGAGGTCGTGTAATATAATATCTTGTGTCAATTAATAAATACAGTTTTATTTCATTTCGATGTTATGTGATTGTTGTTTCGTTATTAAGCAAAAGACAAGTATAACGATTCATTAGAAAAATGAATTTACCTCTTTTATTTTAATAAAGAAAATATCATTCGTTTATGCTTACATATTCAAATAAATAAGTGGCTTATAATTATAGAACTACTTTCTAAATTACAATTTGTGTAAAAAGTATATGTGACATTAATTAGAAAACTGTACAAAGTACTCTGTTATGTATAAGTTTAAAATAATGATTGTAGATATTTTGTCACATTAAAACTTTGTGCTTAATAATTATTAAATTGGAATGTTTAACTGACTATTTTATTTTTGCCACTAATTCGGAAATAATTAATGTTCAAAATATAATAAAAACTTTCTTTTCCTTCGTATTTAGAGTTATTAGGATAGGAGAGGGAAGGAAAGGAATGGAAAGGAAAGGAAAGGAAAGGAAATGAAAGGAAAAGGAAAGGAAAGGAAAGTAATGGAAAAGAAAGCCGTGTTTGGGAAAGTATAATCGGCAAAATAAATAGACGAGTTTGATTAGATTTCACAATCCGGTTATTTATTTAACCATTGAGCGTATATTAATATATACTATATGTCGTGGCTATTCGTATGTACGGTAACAGGCGTAAAAAGTAAAATGAGTTGGATAATAATGGCAATGCTAGTGGTTGACCGTCAAGTTGCTATACGTTTCATTGTTTGTCGAGGGCGATCGTAAATCCGTTCCTTTGTGTTGAGGAATTACTGGACGCTACGTAGCAGGAAATTAGCGTTAAGCATGTGGATAGAGTTGGCAAGGGACGAAGAATTCGCCGACGTCTATCAAGCAATTCGATCCAACTTATGTACGTACGTAGTGCAGAAGAGTACGCTTGACGTCGCGACTCGGCCGTCGATTGCCCGCGATTCGGTCATTGTAATTGGACATTTGTTTTTGCGACGACCTTTGCTAGGAGGCGCAAGGGAAGCTGCTCGCGAATCATTTAGATGGCGAATAAGCGAGATAGTAGCGCCGATGCAATGACTTTATCAATGCCAAAAGGTGTCGGTTTTGTAGTACGTACATCCTTTCCGCCTGTCCTCCTACGTGCGACTATTAACGAGGAAAGTGAATTTACGTTGAGGTTATGTTTCTCTAAAGAAATTCTCTGTCGTAAAATGAGCGTCGGTCTATTACTTATTCCAGTGTGATTTTTGACAGAAATCGTGTGACGCGCGCGTGAGAGTGACTTTCTTTTTAATTTCAAAGACAAAAGCGAATAAGATTCGTCACCCAAAATGTTTGGATTTTTAATATCGTGAGCTGCATAATTAGTCGTTGTCAGGTCGAATGGCTTCTTCTTCTTCTTCTTATTCTTCTTCTTCTTCTTCTTCTTCGTCTTCTTCATGAAAAATTTCTCTTGCCTTAAATAAACTGTTCATGCAATTATTCGTAAGTCAGATGTAATGCTAATGCCTCTTGATATAAAAGTAATTGAAGCATAGCATTAAGATTCAACAAAGTAATTGTTTTTGAAAACTTGGAGTCTTTCGTAAGGATGGATGTTGGATAAGCTTGATATACTATTATTGCGATTAAAAAAGATCGATGTGTCATAACGACTTGATAAATTATCATTTCGTAAATAAAAGAAATATTTCTTTTATTTTTATGATCGACAATCATTGGAATGCCGTCTTAATAAAACGAAGTTGTAGGACCATGGACGTCGAGGCGAAGGCGTAAAGCTGCAAGGAGCCGTGAAACTCCGCGTGATACACTTTCTAAGCATCGGTCTCTGACGTCACGTCCCAACAAAACTCAATTCACCTTTCAAGAGGGCGACGCCGCAAAAGAAAAAAAAAAACGGCTAACGGATTTCGCTCGAGCAGGCTCACCAATACAATACGCGTGCATCGAGATAGAAATCGTGTAACGAGGCTATTTACGAAATGGAAATGGTGAAATGGTAGAAAAAGAAGGCAAACTATGTGTGATGCGGTGATTAACGTCGTCGCCGCTTTAAGCTCGATCAATCAATGAGCTGGATGGGATTTTTATTTGGATCCGGGGATCGATATTGACGAATGCCCCGATACGAGGCCGGATACCTGTAGGTTATTGATTATTTTACGATCGTATAATTGAACATGCGAAGATAAATATCGCCTTATCCGATGAACGAGCGAAGGAGAGAGTAGGCGAATAAGGGAGAGGGAAAGATAGACCGAGACAGCTAGGGAGCGAATTTGGGTCAGCCCTCGAACCGGCGTAATTGTACCGTTGGTGTAATGCTAATAATTAAACTAATGTTGCACTCGCGTATGCACTATTAACGCAAGCCTTGTACACATTGGCTAAAGTTTCTCAATTTATCATATAGAAATTTCAATTAACTGACAGCGTTCATGATGCTCAAATGAAAATTTCTAAACGTGTATCGGCGCTCACGCATACGAGGGATATATACGACAAGGAATTAACGTTTGTCAGGCGAATCGTTCGATCGTTTAAATCTGCCTTGGGATTATTATACAAGTGGCGATGATGACAGTCAGCGGAGGCAGTGGCCTCTCGAGAAAAAAAAAAATCTTAAGCTACTTACAAAGCCAAGACAGTAGTACACTTTGCTTGTATTTACAATTTGTGATAAGCGAGTGAGAATTACGTTTAAGCGGCGAACGTAGCAGCAAAGTGATGATCATTACATGTGCAGCCGGGAGTCATTGTATACGCATAGTGCTTACGAAAAATGCAATATCGAGCATTTATTTATAGTAAGAAATATAACGTTATAGCTACCGGTAATTACTATCCGAGCGAAAGAAGATCTGATTGTATTGTATCTTGGCCGACGTTCACTCTATGCTGTTTATAATACTTTATAGCTTCTGCACTTCTCGTGACGTACGTACATAACGACAGTTGTAAACTTTCATCGTCGAGTTAGATCGCAGCCAGTGCTCTCGGAGAGAAGCCGGAAGCGTTCCAATTCCTTCGAGGGCGGTGATAACGAGCGGTAATTACGCGAGGCGATTGTTACATAAAGTTAACTATTTGCAGAGAGAGGATAGGAGTCTGCTGGCGCAGTTTTTCTACGCGGATGAGTCCCTCAACGGGGTGGCCTGCGAGCTCGACTCCTTCGACGGCCGCCAGGAGCCCGAACGTTGCACCTCTCTTGTCAATCAGCTGCGCCACTGCCAGGATAAAGTTCTCACTATCTGCAACCAAATAATGGACGAGTTGATACCAGAATCCCGGGCGAATCGCGATTTCCGCGTCAAGTTCCCGGATGACGTCATGCAGGAGAATCTCGCAGGTCAGCTGTGGTTCGGAGCCGAGTGTCTTGCCGCTGGCTCCTCTATTCTAAATCGCGAGGCCGAGAGCTCGGCGATGCGGCCACTGGCTAAGGCACTCACCAAATCTCTCGAGATCGTACGCAACTTATTGCGGGAACAGGTCTTCAAGGGCCAGACAAACATTAAAGTAAGTTCGAATTTTTTTTTTCATTTTTCTTTGTTTTTTTTTTTTTTTTTTTTTTTTTTTTTTTTTTTTTTTTTTTTGTTATATATATATATATATATATATATATATATATATCAATTATTAGATTTTAATCTTTTCATAAGCAAAAAATATCGAGTTAAATGCTCTTCTTCGTTACAGACGCAAAACCCACTGGAACCATCGGCCGAGAAGCTCATCGAATCTCTCAAGATCTTTGATCGTCTGTTCGCAGATTTTGAGCTGTGCTACGTAGGGGCAATGGTACCGGTTAAGTCAACCAAGGAGTACGAGCAACAGGAGCTTGTGTGCGTTTTGTTCTCAGAGACGCTGCAACGAGCACTAGAACGATCGCTCCTTAGTCAAGCGGATGTTGACAACTACGAGCCCGCGCTTATGTTTACTATTCCAAGACTGGCCATCGTCGCTGGACTTCTGGCACCGCCTGGTGGTCCACTTTGTCTCAATTCCGTCGACACCATTAGCGAAATGTTCAGACCCTTTCGGGTGAGCTAACGCTGATGCTATTTTCTAATCCGAGTGTGATATTCCTTCGGCATCTTATATATTTCTTGAATCAAGTTTTTCCGTATGTTTTTTTGTTTTTTGTTTTTTTGTTTTGATATTATTTTTCTTAATATACTCTACCCAACGTTTGTGTTTCATTGGTAAATTCAATATTTTAATGTCTCAATCAATCGTTTTTTATGCTATGTACTAAAATATTTTGTCGCTAAGCTGAAAATGCATTGTTCAATTAAAGTGAATAAATATGTAAGGCTTTATTTAAATATCACTTTCATTGCAATAAATCACCATATAAATTACATATAAATTACAATTATGTATTACAAGTGACATAAAAATTCATTTAATTCATTTAAAGACATAAAAATATTAACCATACGTTTTAATGTACGAATCGTATGTTAATTTACGCGCTGTCGAATCAATTACTTTCTTTGCGAAGAAAACAGTATTGTATTTGAAAAATGTTATTGTGTTCATTTTATCATGATATTCTAATGTAATTTATTAATAGCTTATATATTATGTTTATATTTTAGTTACCGTTAAACACCGATGAAATAAAAACAATGCAAAAAGGTGTTTAAAAAAAAAAAATCTATTAATCTTAGCTTACGAAATACTGTTATTCGATCGCTTGGTCGTGATTGAAGAAGTTTTTGTTTAAAAAAAAAAAGAAAGAAGTGTTTGTGTGCATTAAACTGTACATCAAGCCAAATTTTCTGCATCTTATATAAAAATATCAATAAAAATGCTGAATTAGAATCCTAAATAAATTTTTTTTTTATTTTTTTTTTTTTTAATGGAAATCCTACCCCTCTCTCTGTCTCTCGGTACTCTTGCTGGCTCTGTCTTCTGTATTCTTCCGTTGAACTCGTAATAAAATCAATGATATTATTCCGCAGAGTCTACTTTTGAAAATAAGAGAACTTTTGTGGACACTGAATAACCGTGAACTCTACATGTTAGAGAAGTTGCTGTGTTCGATCGAGGAGGCATCAACGCCAATATCGCAGACTAATCGCTCAACTTGCCAGGACGTCCCGGACCTCGAGGAATTCGTCTACAATTTTTACACGGGTTATCCAAATTGCAAAGATTTTATCGCAGATTTTTACACCGTAACACGAAACAACGGCAGCAACATCGACGAAGTTGCCAACGACGCTGTTCTTATTCTCGAACAGGACAGCAGCGAACATGTTTTTAATTCCACAGAACGTAAAAGTAGCTTGGAGACGGACAACGAAGTGCTCATCCAGAGTGTACACTCCGAGAGCTCTCCATCTCACGTAATCAACCAGGACGACTCGTCCGTATCCAGAGCACCTACGCTTCGTCATGATTCGAGCGGCTCTTCCCACTTTTATTCTTGTACGTATAATGTCTTTGTTAAATTCTGGGCTTTGTTAATGCGCAAAGTCGTGGAGTACCACTAAGGCTATGTGATTATGTCTAGGCGACTCGGTATCGGTAGAGATACCGCAGACACAGTACCTGCTGAATCAAGTTTCCCACGAGAGCAACGTTCCTGTTCAAAGAATAGAGATTCCGAGCTCCTTGCCGGATATGGATTCACGGAAGCTCATATCCGAGGCCAACAAGAGTCTATCCAATCTTCTGCTCGACGCCGATTGCCAGAACGAGATATCGGAGCACGTGGATTCGGGTATCTGCACGGTCATATCTTCGGAGAATACAAGCCTCTACGACAAAAGCCCCGAGGATAAAAAGAGTTTCGAGAAAGAGGAGGAGGAAGTCCTCGAAGAAGAGAGTGGTAACAACTATTTTTGCTCGCAGTTAAACTCGGCTAAACCGCGTGACTCGGATACCTCGGACAATAGCGCTCGAGAGCCGAAGAGTTCGCCTTATCTAAAGCCTGCTCTCGAGACCTGCAAGCACAGTGCACGTAGCGAACAAATAATTGGCATTGCCTATGGGAACGGACAGATTCCCGTCTGCGAGGGTAATCAGCCGGGCTTCCAGATTAATTACAAGGAAAATTGGGAACGACTGAATCTAAAGATCGAAGCCTCGTCTTCGCGGCGAGCCTTCTGGCGTGAGATTAATCAGGACACGACCTCGAGCAGGAAGCGTAAAGAGGAGAAGCAGCGTCGACGTCGCAGGCACCATCGTAGAAAATGCGAGGCCACGACCGATCAGCCTCCCAGGAAACAACGGCATCAGCAACACGAGCAGCAGCAGCAGCAGCAGCAGCAGCAGCAGCAGCAGCAGCAGCAGCAGCATCATCACCATCATCATCATCACCATCATCATCATCATCACCACCATCATCATGAACAACAGCAGCAGCGGCAGCAGCAGCAGCAACAACAACAACAACAACAACAACAACAACAACAGCAGCAACAGCTACAGCAACCGAAAATAATGGCCGAACAGATTCCGACGAGCAGCGAGAGTTCACGTTCCAATTCGGTTGATCGCTGTTTACAGCCACGACTACTTGGCCTCGGTTCGAGTCTCCATCCTAGTCAAAACACTCGACAGATGCCCAAGTTCGGCGGTTGTAGTCCCCACGCGAGCCCCCGGATGCAGCACTTCGAGTGCCGAGGTACGAATTCTCTGCGGACTTTCGGCACCACCTCTGGCCACCAGATGGCATCCCACAGTAAGAAGCTTTTGGAGCACCGACGGTCCCGCTCCGAGCAGCTGCAGCGACTCAAGAGGCGGGAAAGAGCCGCGTACAAGCTCGATCACTTTCGCAAGAGGAACAATTGTAGTGACTTGATAAACGACGGGCTTGGTCCGAGGACTAACAAAAGTGGCGTGGTCGTGAGTAGTGTGCACCTAAACTCGCTAGAGGTGCCGCCAGGAATGAGGCCGGATTTCGTTTCAAGCTCGAGCTGCTCGAGCTGCTGTGACTCGAGTTCCGAAACCAGTGAGTTTCAGAGTGACTGCCAGGACGATGAGGAGATAGCGCTCGCGATGCAGGCTGCCGAGATAGCTAACAGAAATCAAATTAGGGCGAAATTTCGGTAATTCCATTAGTAATTTAATATATCACGGGCGTTACGTGCCTTGATTGCGATATTAAAACGACCGCGATCTTTCGTCATAATCTATTCTCATTCTACGCATGAATTTTCAGTCAACTTATTGACAGGAACATTGACTTACTTATCATCGGCTTAAAGTCATTTTTATATTTTTATATCTATCGATATTTGCATTTTGTATCATTGCATTTTATATTTATTGGTAGCTTGAAATATAGCAAAACTTTTTCACAGTTTTCTTTGTTCTTTAAATATTCAATTAGCGTTGGAATTCGTGGATCAATCAATCTTTTAAAGTAGCTAAAAAATTTTATCATAAAGTTTTATTGAAGAAAACGCACGAGTGGGCTGCCCTCGTAATAATATAATATTATAATAATTTTATGTTGCAGTTCATCCGAGGATCTAGTCCATAGGCTTTTCGTCTGTATAGCTGGAGTCGCGGATCAATTGCAGACGAATTTCGCGTCTGATCTACGCAACATTCTTAAGTGCGTTTTTCTCATGAACAGTAGTCAAGTGCCGAACGTGGATGAGAAAATTGATGATGAACCACCACCCGTCTCGCAAATCGAGTTAAATATGCCAAGTTCAAACGAGAGCTTAGAACATCAAGAATCCGTAGAGGACGATGAATTGGCCGAGGAGCATGAGCCAAACGAAGAGCGAAGTAAACATTTATCTATATTTCATTTAACTATTGGTTGATCTCAATGTGTCTGGTTAATTCTATTGATTGTTCTTAATAAAGATTATATCGTCGAATTATTGCAAAAGAAATTATATCGGCGAATCGTCTATTAATGCATCTCCGCGACATGTGCATATGATACGCGACTTTGCTCTATCTCGAGAAAAAGAAACTATTCTCAAATCAACAAAGAAGTGAATTTTAATTAAATTTTTATCTTCCACTGATATTATAATGCAAACGCGGTTTTATTTTTGAGCTTAAACCGAGCACTCGCTTTGCAAGTCCAACGCTCGCGATATGCATGAAAAATTTTTCAGTTAACGCCCGTAAGAAAAGTCGAACCGTCAAATTAAAAGATCGACCAATAAAAGAATTGCATCTATTGCGCTTCGATGGCTAGGCTCGAGTAGCTAAAGTAACCCAAGTAGCACAAGTAGCCCAAGTAGCACAAGTAGCCCAAGTAGCCCAAGTAGCCAATACAATAGTCTCACTTTACGCTTGTACACAATAATGCTTGCAACGTCCTCGCGACACTCACCTTGAATCAGTCGGCAGTACAAAAAATGTCAAATTGAAAATGACGAAACCCGCCCTTATTTCTCCTTAAAAATATCGGACGCCGCAAGGCGCTACATGCAACCGGATCCTAAGGCGCGTGTGTGTCGCATATTTACAGGTTCTCCGATAACGGAGCGAGGCGAGGAATGCGTGGAGCGGGCTCCGATCTGGGTTCCGGACAGCGTGGCACCCCGCTGCATGGCTTGCCAGGCAGGTTTTACGGTTGTCCGGAGGCGCCACCATTGCAGAAATTGCGGGAAGGTGTTTTGCGGCCGTTGCAGTGGCAACAGCGTGCCCTTGCCTCGCTACGGACATACGAAGCCGGTGCGCGTCTGCAACCGTTGCTTTCTCTATCAGGTGACTCCCTTCACGGTTAGGCAAGTCGCATCGACCAGTTGAATTATTATGGCCGTATAAAGGAGTAATTTCAATGCCGACGCCAACGTGCGCGTATTCGTCGTTAAGAGAGTTTGCGCCGACCTCAGTCGCATTTTATAAAATCCTTCATTCTTATGTACGTAATTGAATTTATTCCATTGATTCTTAAACTTAACAATGTCTTTCACACGCTACGCACGGCATTATTACAAAATTGACGATTTCGAATTTATAGTTTGAGCGTCCATTATCACGAACTGCGTTTTACAAATAATCCTATTTATTATTATTATTATTATTATTATTATTACTATTATTATTATTATTATTATTATTATTATTATTATTCATTATTGTTATTATTCATTATTATTATTATTCATTGTTATTATTATTCATTATTATTATTATTATTATTATTATTATTATTATTATTATTATTATTATACATACTGGCTATATTGAAATATCATTGCGAAGTCTAAGATGCGATTGCTTATATTGTATCGATATTGAGACAGTGCATTATGTTACATAAATTAATTACATTAATGTTTACATTAATGTAATTACATTAAACATACATTAATTATTCATTGTTAATAATTAATATCTTATGAAAATTGGTTTACAATTAATTGAATCTCGCTGAGATTTTTATAATTATTTTATATATATATTTGTGTTTGTTGTTATCAATATTACTAATAGTGTTAATAATTTTGCATAATTTCTCAAACTTCTGGGTGATTTTAATCTCAAGACACAATTAATTCACTTGTCAAGTACAATTAATTACTCGACAATTAAAACATCCATCATATTTAGCATCTTTTAAAATGTAGCATAAATTTGCTTTTAATATGGATTTTTTTTTAATCAAAATTTAATTTTAATAAATAATATTTCGAACATTATATATATGAAGGTGAACATTTGAAAGTTAAATACATTAATATTTCAACTGTATTCTCAATTTTTTTTATTCGCTCGTAATTTTTTAATTACAATTAAACTTTATTAAAAAAAAGAAAGAAAGAATATAATTGTTTGCTTTATAATAATAAGAAATTGAAAACTTTCTAAAAAGTGCAAGGAAAAATCGCATTAGATCTTAAACTCTAATATGTTCTTCAAAAAAAAAAAAAAGAAAAAAAAACAAATATATAAATAAAAAATAAAAGAATTTTAAATATTCGGTATCTTACCTTAATAAGTCATTCAGTGCGAATATAAAATTATAAAACAATATATAGTGGCTTAAAAATTTTTAATCATACTAAGCTGTCCTTAGTTTTACAAAATACCGTTCGATATCATAATGAAAATAAATAAAAACACAATAAGTATTTAATTATAATATTTTCAAATATTTCAACACATACCTGCACTTTTGTTCCGATTAATCTTCTGCAACTGGACAGAAATAATTATACTACAAATTTTCTTAGATTATAATAGGATCCGGCATATCTAAAATTAATTCGCAAAATGATACACTCACTAGGTAATCTAAGTCGATTAATTTGTAAAAATATTACATAAATAGATTGGATAAAACTTGCGTGTATGTTGTATTATTATATAAGTAGTTAAAGAAAATGGAAGTTTGTATTACGAAGATAAAAGAAAACGCATCATACGTGAGATATACAAATATAGCACGCGTGTGTTGAAAATTTCTACATAGCTTAATATTAGATTATTCGTTAGTTTACTTGCAAAACTTAAATGTGTATATGCTGTAAATATTAATTAATTAAGCATTAAGGAAAACTGCCTATCGAATATTCCTTAACATTCAATTATTGTTTTGAAAATCTCTTTTAAAATCAAATAGCACATAAAAATCATACGTGCCAAATTTATTAATTATCAGACAATAAGTAATATTAGTTTATCATTCGAAAAGCCAATTATAAAATTAACAATTTATAAAATACAATTTCAAAATTTATTGAAAAGAAGATTAAATTTAAGGAATATTCGATTTAGTAATCGTGCATTTTGACTTGAAAGACTGTTCTCAAACATAAATGTTAAAGTATTATAGAATTATCTTATAATTTATTCTTCAATTAATTTGGAATTACATTATTATAATTCGAGATAACATTTATCTATTTCTAATAATTATCATAGGCTGATTTTATAGGATAAAAATTGTAATATCTCTTTAAAAATTAATAGTAAATTAAATTTTTGTATAAAATTGATATAGCTATTGTTATTACGGTCTATTAATTAATTCAAATGCTTCATTATTTCTAAATATCAATCTGCATTTTTTCAAATTATTTCATTAAATATTTCTATTTTTCGCTGACATTCCATTTGCCAATTTATAAATACTGTTTGATTATATGATTTAGGGGACTCGTTTAAAAACAGACGATCATTTATGATAATTGACTTATTCATCCGATCTTCGCGACTCGCTTGATTAATTAATCGAATGAAAAAAATAAATGGTGAGCAGAAGAATGTCTTACTTTTTATTGATTGATATTCTGTCAAATAGGATATAGGTCTCTTCGTTATTAATATAATAAATTTCTATATCGAATCTGTAAGCGTAATTAATGTTATATAGTATAATATTACGAAAATTCTATAAACCCAAATATAACACGTTAATTTTTTATAAAAATGAAATATATGACCAAATCTATGAAACTAATTAAGAAAGGCTATAAGTGATAACTTTATCAATTAATAATTAAAAATATTCAATAGAGATAAACTAAGTTTCATTAATAAAAAGATGAAAAAATTAAAAATTGCAAGAGCTGATTGCATTGCAAAGAAATATTACAAAATTAACTTGCTTCTAGCCTTTGTATATATCTACTTACATACAATAATTGTAACATTACGTAAATAAAATTAAAAGTTCTTGTGATGTAGATCAATAAAGTCGAAAGAAATCTTCCGGTACATTACAGTTTGAGATTATTATCATTATCATTATGATCATTATTATTACTACTACTGTCACTACTACACTACTATCACTACGGCGACTATGACTACGACTACCACTACGACTACTACTACTACTACTACTACTACTACTACTACTACTACTACTACTACTACTACTACTACTACTACTACTACTACTACTACTACTACTGTCACCACTACTGCTGCTAATACTCTTATTACAACTACTAATACAATTTTTTATTATTACTACTATTGTTATTTGCAAATTTTTGAAACTTTGCATAATTATTATAAACGATCTTACTAGTGAATATTATGGCACTCAAATCACGACTACATAAACTAATTAAATGCGTAATTATTTCTTTCTCTAATTTATTTGAATCGATAAACGCAAAAAAATCTGTAGAATAATGTTTCACTTGAGAATGTGTATACAATAAGATAAAAGATAAAAGGCAAGAGAACGTGAAATTGCATTTATTTTTGTATATGTCTAATTTTGCTGAATGTTTGAATGTAAAATGGTCAGTGAACTTCTATGCTAAACCTCGTTCAAAGGACAAACGGATATAAAATCTTGGTTATATTGAAGTCGATTTTAACCAGTTGTAGAAGTAGTCGTATGCTATGGGTTAATTGTATAAAAAGATCGATCACGATTGGTAACGAAATAAGACGTCTTTTTTTTTTTATCTATAAAAAGTCTAGAAGGCTATATGATACCGTGTATCTTTAAATATCAAAACATAAGTGTTCTCGATATAAATGCTCGCACTGCTATATATGAAATTTATCGAATGATATAAAGAAAAGAATTATAACAATATTCAGAGATAATGCACTGAATATAAACGGTATAGATGTGTACGACCTTGATAAGCAACGTCAGCATTGCCCACTTTATCAGCTTTGGTCAAGTGGTATTGATTGAGAATTTTTTATGCACGATAATGATGAACGATAATAAATGTAAATAAAGTTTGTTATTTTAATTAATGCGTGTTTCATTTCTCCCAGCACTAACAATATACCTTTCACTTATTATGTTATAATAATTCATTTTTCTTATATTTATTAAATATAATTTATTAAAACATAGAAATATCATTTTTTTTTTTTTTTTTTTTTTTTTTTATCATTTTTTTTTTTTTTTTTTTTTTTTTGTTAAATGAATTTTTTAAGGCAATCGTTATAAACAGGTTGAGCGCATATTGATTTACTTCGAAGCGTAAAGATAAAATTATTCTCGACATTGTGCGGTCGTCATGGAAGCTCATCAACAAATCTGAGTGAATTTTTTTATAAGATAATTTTAACTACGTTCCAATACTATTAAATAACATTTCAACAATGATGGATATGGAAATGAATGCCGACATGGAAAGGGTAAAGCAGTAACATTATTTCAAATATTTTATTAAGAATGCAACATGTAAACTTAATATTACGTGCACGGGGATAAATATATTTATAAATATATTTGCAGTTATTTACTCGCCTATCCACTTTTTTTTTTTAATATTTCTTTACTTATGTTAATTTATATTAATAAGATTCCATCTTTTTACATGCTTAATATTAATAATGTTATTAGTCCAAAAATAGCTATATGAAAAGTTTAATAAAATTAATGAAACTATTTCTGTTATGTAAAGTAAATTTATTGTTTTATCAAAATTTTAACACATGATACTTTCAATATATATTAAAAATTAAATATTAAATGATGAGTAAGCTTTTATTATATGCTAGATTGTAAATAAATTAATTAATCTCCTTCGTAACAATTATTCTTCCCAAGCGCTAAAATGGGTTAAATTTTTTAATTTTTAATCAATGTTTTATTCATACTGGTAGAAATATTTAACAATAAATTAAAAAATAATACAGTATACGCAATACATTAATACATAATACATATGAATACAGTTTTATTTTTTTGTTCATTTATTGTTGTATAGGAGGAGGGTAGTGAAACGGGGGGTGGTTCTAACGAAGGAAGTTCAACAGGAAGTATGTACTGCACTCTTGAACAGAATTTCGAACAGGTATTTAAGCTTATTTATAAATATCATTTTCCCATTCTAACTATATGAAACTATTATAGATAAGAAATGCTATGAAGAACAACAGAGCTTTAGAGTCGTATGAGCACGAGTATAAGCGGCTCTTTGAATCCCTTTATCAATCTCATCGTAGCGAAGACGAACTAACTAAGAAATGCAAAACCCTACAGGTATTTAACAGGGATGTAATGTCCATAATAATAATGATACATTCATCTAATTATGCGAGAATAAATTTCAGGAAGAAGTAGCAGAAGGAATGAATAAAATTTTTGATTTAGAGAAAAAAGTAGAAATTGGTGAGATGAATATAGAACAGTTGAAAAATGAAATCATAGAGAAAAAAAAACATACGGATATTATCCATGTGCGAGAGCAAAAAGCTCAAGAAATTATAGAAAATTTACGTATCTCTATTGCTAAGCTCACTGAGGAAATCAATCAGAAATCAAAGCAACTTTCCACAGAAGAGCAGTAAGTTGCTTTTTCATGAATTTAAAAATGAATACAAAATGTATATATTATTTGAGCAACGTAATAATAAATTTAAAACATTGCTATTTAATAATATTTTGCAATATTAAAATTTCTTTATATATATATATATATATATATATATATATATACATTAACTTTTTAATTGAATGAGAATTGCATTTTTTATTTTTATTACAACGAAGCGTTTCAATTATAATAATATGGTCGTAATCGTTTTACAAGGATGAGTTTTCAAGCTTACAAATATTTAATGAGATTCTCTTTATGAAATCAATTATATTAATGCATTAATTAAAGCCTCGAAAAATGTATTTTCTTCAATTTTCTCGTAAGCAATTATTGCAGAGATAACATGTCAAATTACGTCACAACGGAATTCAAAAGCGAATCAAAGTGAACGAAGCGTACAATTAGCAAGAATAAAAAATTGAATTCAAGAATAATCAATTATCATCGAATTCTTAACTCGGAATAATTGAATAAACTGTAGAGTGATCGCCTGTACACAATCCTGACGACTAGGCGCTAATAACTCGATTACTTATGTCTGTTCTGCATTCGCATGAAAATGCAGTAACTACAATCTTCGGTATCTGACGAGATTATCAAGTTGCTCAACACGTATCCAAATTTACTATTTTTTGCTTTTTTTTAAGTTTCATCTAAAACACCATTAAAATAATTATATTTCCCATTTTCCGCCGAGATATTCGTGATTTTTTTTTATACATATAGCGGCTCGTGCAAACGTTTGAATCGTATTTAATTTAATTATGAACGTATAAAACATTGAAAGTATAAGAAAGTTTTCATCTTTCATATTATATGTGTTTCTTAAATTGAAATTAGGTTGCCACCTACGCAAGAAAAAGATGGTTTAACAAAAGAAAATGAGCGTTTACTCGGTGAAGTCGATGCTTTGAAACAGTGTCTGAAAAACGCTGCAAATTATAATCAAGAAATAGAAGAAAAAGTTAATGAAACTGAAGAGAAAATTAAATCGTTGCAAGAGACTATTGATCAACAAAATAATGACATGTTAAAGGTACAACGAGAACGTGAAAAAACACAGTCCGAATTGGACAATCTTTATGAAAAATTTATAATACGATCGACTGAACTACAGGTATTTTTTATTCGTGTTTTTTTTTGCATTATTTTACATTTTTTCCTGGGATTCATCATTGTGTACATGTTTAAGACAGTTGATGAAGCATATAAAGAAATGCAAAATAATGCTTTAAAACAAGAACAATTATTATCGGACCAAGTAATGGAAAATGAAAAATCTCAAAAAGAATTACATAAAGTTACACAACAAGTAATGTCAATGAAAAAGTCGTCGGATAATCTTCAAATTAAAATTACACAAATCGAGAAGGAATTAAATGATAAAAGTAGGCTTATTAAAGATTTAAACAAAGAAATGCATGGGTAAGGTGATTTCTAGGCTTTATTATGATTTCCTCCTCCTCCTCCTCCTCCTCTCCCTTCCCCCTTTATTTTCATCAATATTAAAAGCAATTATTACTGACCAATTGATTAATATTGAATTAGAAAGCAAAAAGAATTAGAAAGATTGAATCTTGAAAAAGAAAATACAGAGTCGAAATTAACGAAAGAACGAAATCTTAATATGAAAACTGAAGAAAACTTGAAACGCAATGTAACAATTCTTAAGAATTCTGAATCGGAGGTTGCCGGTCTTACAAAATGCATAGAATCAGATAAAAAGACGATTGAGAAATTGAATCGTTTCAAAGAGACAGCATCAAAAAATATTAAAGAACAAGAAGAGATTATTATGAAATTGAATTATGAAATTCGTGTATTCGAACAAACTAATCGAAGAATGCAGACAACCGAAGATGAAATGACGGCAGCTGCGAATGAAATGAGACGACATATAAAGAAATTGGAAACAGACAAGAATAAATGTGTAATAGAAACACAAGAATTAACAGTGAAGGTAAATTTATCAAATTTAATTTCACTTTTTTTTTTTTTTTTTTTTTTTTTTTTTTTTTTTTTTTTTTTTTTTTTTTTTTTTTTTTTAATAAAATATTTATTTACGCTTTAAACGTACTGTATTCTCTGATACTTTATATAGATAACATAAGTCTTTGATAAATTACAAAACAAAATTTTCAAATAAGTCTATGTGTTAGGTAAAAGACTGTGTTGACGAACTGAAATTAAAAAGACTTGAAATTGCCGATTATCAAAAGCGCCTTCATGAAGCAGATAATAGATTTCGGCAACATCAAACCGTTTTTGATAATATCAGAGCTGAGCGCAATTCTTTTAAAAAGAATCTGTTGTTAGTACAAGAGGAAGTCGTGGAACTGAAGGCGAAGGCCAAAAACTTAAATTTAGAAATTAATGTTTTAAAAGACCAATTGGCAATAAAGGAAGCAGATTTGATGAAACAAGAATTTTGTAAGCAGATTAAAATATTTGTTATTAATGAAGTTTGATAATTATTATAATAGGACCTAAATAATGATACGTTTCGTCGGCAAATTTCAGTATTCAACAAGCTAGAGAAAGAAAAAGATGGACTAAAAGTAGAAATTACAAATATACGTATAAATATGTCTAATTTTCGAGAAGAAATGGAGAAAATGAAGCAAGAGGAAAAATTTTTGAAAAAAACATTACAGGAAGCCGACTTAACTATTATTAAACAGACCAAAGAAATAGAATTGATAATGAATGAGCGCGATATAATTGGCACGCAAATTGTCCGACGGAATGATGAGATAAGCTTACAATACAACAAAATGCAAATACTAACGGAGACTCTTGCTGGAGGTGAGAAACAATACACCCAAAGAATGGACGAAATAAGAACACTTAAACTAGAATTAAAAAATCTGAAGCTGCGAAATGCGGCTTTGGAAAAACATACAAGTAGCCTTAATGATCTTCGTGATGCGGTTTCGCATCTCGAGCGTAATTTAAATAAGGAAAGACTTAAAGTAATGGCGCTTGAGGAGGAGGTTCAAAATCCTTTGAATATTCATAGATGGCGAAGCTTAGAGGTGAATTGCACTCTTTTTTCCGTTTCCGCAACTTTTCCATTCGTGTTTATGATTACTTACTTTCCTACTTACTTATTAGGGAACCGATCCAGATACTTTTGAACTTTTAAAAAAAATTCAAATTTTACAAAAAAGAATAGTAAAAATGTCGACGGAAATGATTAACAAAGACAAGAAGATTAGAGAGATAGAAAAATTATATACGAATCTTCGTAAAGTCCTTGCAAAACAACCAGGACCGGAAATACTCGTACACCTAAATAAAACTCGCCGAGCTCTAAGAGATAGAGGGAATAAAATGAAGGTCCTAATATGATTTCACAAAATAATTAAATACAAATTTTTTTACGCTAATAATTTATTTTTATTTATAATAAACAGAGTTTAGTTGCAGAGTTGAATATGGCAATATCGACAGAACATAAATTCGAGATTGATAAGATAAAAAAAGAACTTAATATAACGAAGGCGAAATATTTTGCTCAAAAAAAGAAAAATTTGAAGCCTCTTGAATATATTAAACAAATTCCTGCGACTTTGACAGTAAACCCAAATAAATTCCATTATAGTGGGTTTGATGTGAATAATCCAACATCTAAAGACTCCACTATTTCTTCAACAGTAATAACTCAATAAAATTAGATACGACAGAATTAAATTTTTTTAATTACCCATTAAATTTAAAGTGCTTCGTTAAAAAATGTATAAGATAATAGAAAATTGAAAAGTTCATTAAGATTATAAAATATTGTTAAATTAACACTTAATAATTTTAAAGCGGCCTTTTATCATTTTTAGAAAAATTGTTTTCAGAAGTACTTTTTATCTTTAAAGAATATAATTAATAGTGTTAAATTGATAGAAGAACAAAGTCAGATAAAAAAAAATAAATAAAATAATAACGAATAAATCTAACGAAATAATGAAAATAATAATCGAATGATATCAATATTAGTAATATTAATGTTAACATAAATACATTTTATATAGCAATTTTAGAATAAATTATAAAGATACAAATGAATGAATCTGTATAGTGATTCTTTATAATATTACTATAAATAATAAATAATTTAACAGAAATAATTATTCGATAGAGTTTTAATTAAATTTATTAAAAATGTCACGATATTTATACGTTTAACAAAAGAATGTTATTTATTATTTACATTTAAAAAAATTAGTTTAAAAGAATATTTTATATTAAGTGTTTTTAATTGTTTTGTAAGCTAATGTATTTTATTATATTTATTAAATTTTATATTTTTCACTATATTATCATTGAATGAATAATTTTTTACTCAAGTCAAAGAGTTGGTGGATAAGTGATTTAAATAATCAAAACATCTATCCCTTTTATCCTTCATATGGCACCTTTTTTTATACAGTTTACGAAAAACAATTGAATACGAAAAATAATTATGTAAATAATCAGTGAGTTAGAGGGGTTGTTTGTTTCACACTGATTAAAATTACCATGTACCCGTACACACACATGCAGTATACTCGTTAGTACATATTTGCAAATTTCAATGTTTGCATAAATGCTTATTAATACTCATTTATTCGCTCATTTTTGTATTACTCATACATTAATATGTAATAGTATCGGGTAATTCCGTTGCAACTGTATAAAGTAGCTGGCTCCATTTGCGTTTAGTCACAAGAGTTAAACTGAACGTCACAAATAAGTTTTAACTAAATATTTAAACCTCTATATTTATCGGTAATTTATCGGTTCGCGCTCTTATTGATAATGTTCAATCAGGGTTTGGTGGAAGGAATATAAAGGGTTATATTATAACAATGTAACTGACAGACAATGATTATATTATAATATAATATTATTCTTAAAGGAATAATTAGTAAATAATGAGACAGCCAGACGGACAAAAAAGAAAATATGGCCTAAATAATAAATGGAAGATGGATAATTATCAAAATAAAAAATAATAAAAGTTTTTACAAATTCTTCTTAAATTGGGTATTATCACTGTCCTATAAGCTAAAACATGAGTTGTTACATTTTTGTTGGAGTCTTTTCTTGATTGACTGTTTTATTTCAACTATTAATACCTCACTAATGTCTTTTTGTAGTTTAATAAATTATAAAATTATCTTGCTATTATTTGCATCCTTTATCAACTTATTTCATGATTTTTCTTTTTACCGCTATGAACAAAGCGCAATTGTACAATCGACTATACTCGTTTCAAATTAAATATTATATGCCACTAGCATGGTCCTTTCTAATGGCGTGTTCTACTCTTTCTCGATTACTTACTCACTCACTTATGACAAACCAGTTTATTATATATCGATTATATTGTTTAGCCTAAAGTGGGAGAACAAGCAGTTCACACTACTCTGCGTACATGTGCATCTCTCATGTTTATGTATGCATACACAACATTAATATGTATAACAGATATAAATGACGTATAATAATAATTTACTATCTACTTTGTAATTGTGGTCGTTTTTGTAGTTCTAAAGCTAAAGATATTATATTGTTATTGTTTATAATAGCCATAATATCCTATTATCTATATTTAAGTCCTTTAAATTTTTTTTTAAATATTATTTTTACTAATATATTTTTACTCCATGTAAATTAGTTATTATAATAATTTAATTTATATATATAATATTATAAATGTATTTTGGATCTCTACAAAGGTATGAAGTAACGCATATTTTGTACATCATGGACTATATAACAGCTGCAGATTTTTCGTGAGAAAAGATATAATAGCAATTTGTTATCTATCTAATTACATTATAACAAAATTACAAAATAACAAAATTAAAATTATTTATAATAGTCTAGTCCATATAGTGTATTTATAAAAAAAAAACAAATTAAAAATGATTATATTGCCAGCGATATATTATAAGTACTTTACAGCTAAATAAAGCTTATATTTATCGCAGTTATATTATATAATTATTAATAAAAGAATTATTAAAAAATAATTCAACTTTGCCGTATCAAAATAGTAAGATATTAAGTTCAATTAAGTTCCATGGATCCAGAAATAGTTTCACCGAAAATATTAATTATACATCTCCATTCTTCATTATACAGCACCTGATTAGTTTTTTTTAGGGACGCCAACAAATTGTTAAATATACGTTACAATCACTATATTTATATTTACAAATCATATGTTTGGATATATACATCTTATTTCCTCTTATTAATTTAGATTTATTCATATTTTACTAATAACGTCATTTCTTCATATATTTAAGAATATAAATATACTCATGAGCGCACATGCATTCACGCACACAGGCACACAAGTATAAAAATAAACTTAATGTATCGAAGGTCATATATTGAAATATATATCAAGCATTTAGTATATCATGTATTTTATTTTGAAAAAAATTAATATTTTGTAAGAAGAAACACAAACCATTTTAAATGTTACTTAATTGAAATTATTTAGCTTATTTCAATATTGAATTGAAATTCGTTTCGTCTTTCTGGATTTAACATAAATAGTCTAAATCGCAAATACTGTTCCTTCAATGATAATAATCCAATAAAATTTTCTACAATAGACTTTGAATTGTTTTAATTAACCTATTAATTTAAAAAGGACATAGTAATATTATAAAGTATATATGAATAAATAGCAGGAATTGTTAATGCATAGGAAGAAAATCGATAAAATCAGGGTATCGGTAAATTGAGCGTACACTAACTCACGTATTAATGAACAATAAATATGATACTATGTTTTGTTATAGTTAGTTTGCAATTCCGATAGATCGCCGAATATCCAGTTTGTGTTTGTCCAGTTTCAGTTTGTGTGAGGTATTGTAAAGATGAGGATGCATTGGTTGTATATAATAATTTTCCTAATCTTCGTTCAACTCCATCAAACGATTAATGGCAAATTGATTCATGAAAATCCTAAAAAATCGTTACAATCGTTTAAAAATAAAAACGAGAGTTTAGCCAAACTTTTTCAAAGCATAGCAAATGAATATTTAAAAAACTGCACACTCGGCATAATATACGATTTAAATTATGAGCAAAATTACCCCATCGATTTTCATCTTTATTTTGCTAATACATTTCTTCCATTAACACAAGAGACCATCGATTTTTCTGCTGGCGAAAGACCTACTCGCGAGCGCTACTCAGACAAATGTACGAATTATGTGATTTTTCTTCATAATATATTTGCCATAAAATATATAATGCCTCCAAACATCAAGAGCAAAATTGTGATAGTTTCAGCTGAGACGCTATGGGAAATCAAAGATTTTCTGAAAAGTCACATAGCGAGAATGTATAAGCACCTTCTTATTATTACGCACAGTGTAAGCAACAAGCATGGTGTAAGCATTAATTTATTTCAAATTTTTATATTTATAAATGTAAGTGTACAGATACGCTTCGATTGTAAAAAATATAAATTTTTATTGTAAAAATATAGTAGATTTGTCGATGAAAGAATTTATTAAAAATTGTTTATTACAATGTAACATAAATAAATTTTTATTATTTTGAAACTATTGTTATTACAAGTGAAGAAGTAAATATCTTTTTAAATTATTATATCAAGGCTGGCTCTTATTTATTATACACGCACAAACTTTATGCCGATGGAAGTGGATCGAGTCAACCATTATTTTTGGCATCTTGGATAAATAATAGTATTACCGTGGAAAATATTAATCTCTTTCCTGAAAAATTAAATAATGGTTTTATGGGTCATCGTCTTCTTGTGTCTACAATTGAAAATCCTCCATTTACAATTAGACGGTATGATATGCACAGGCTGTAATATACGGAAATAAATTTAAAATAAGGCTTTATTTATTTAGGTCATTGATTGGCTCGGCTGAATCGGATTGGGATGGGATTGAAATAAGACTTTTGAAATTATCAGCTGCTTATTTGAATTTTACAGTAGAATTTACAGAGCCACGTTCAGCTGGCCCTAGGTATTTCAATAATTTATCTCGCAATCATATTAAAATCTCTCCTCATTTCTTACTTTACGATTGTTTTCTTTTAACAGTTCGATTGATTCCATAAAATTCGATGTATTAACTGGAACAGCGTCAGCAGCTACTGGCGGTATTTATCAAACTGAAGAACTAATAAAATCATTTGATATAATCGCACCTTATACCGAAGACTGCGCTGCCTTTATTTCTCTGGCGTCAACTGCCATACCAAAGTAGACGACTCATTCATTATTAAGAAGAAGGCATATTTATTGATTATTTTATAATATCCAAAAACCTTTCCTAACAGGTATCGGGCAATTTTAGGACCATTTCAATATTCCGTTTGGATGCTTCTTTGTGCCGCTTATTTTTTTTTAATCATATCGCTCACATTCAATAGTAATTTTACAATACTATCATTACTTAAGCATCCTAGCAAAATAAATACAATGTTTTGGTTTGTCTTTAGCACTTATACAAATTCATTTGTTATAAAAAGTCCATTTCTTAATGATGGAATAGCCAGAAATTCAATTACGATACTCTTAGGTATGTAAATATCCCTTAATGGTTATTATTAAATAATACATTCATCTTAATAACAGTAATTGTTTAATATATTAAATACAACTTTGTATATGAATGGTATATAACACACGCGCGCGCGCTCCCACACACAAATATTTATATTATGAATATTATTTAGATTGTAAGAGAATATATTTTATATTTAAATTTTAGCAATTTATTGGGTGTTCACTATAATTATAACTGCTTGTTATACTGGCTCTATTATCGCTTTTATAACTCTTTCTGTCTATCCATCAGCAGTTGAAACTGCGGATGAATTACTGACTTATCGTTATCGAATTGGCACATTGGGTGAGCGTATTATTTATTTATAATGTTTTAAAATTTGCATTATTGATTGAATTGAATTGATTTAGATCATAATGGATGGCAAAAATGGTTCAATGTCAATACAACTGATGACCAGTTTCTTATAAAACTATTTCGAAAAATGGAATATGTACCAAGTGCACTAGAAGGAGTTAAAAATGCCAGCCGAGCATATTTTTGGCCTTATGCTTTTTTAGGTTCAAAAACAACTCTTGATTATATTGTGCAAACCGATTTTGCTCCAACGTAAAAATTAAATGCTAAAATAATTTAACATTACACAATGGCTATAAATATTATATCTATTTTATATTTATAGATGGGCAACAAAACGCTCCCTCATGCACATTAGTAAGGAGTGTTTTGTTCGTTATAATGTCGTTCAGCTATTCCCTGTTAAATCACTTTATACAAAATATATGAACACATTCGTGAATCGAGCTATTGAAACTGGATTAATTGAGAAAATTATATCTGACATCGAATGGATAATCCAACGTATTGCTACAAAAACCAATAGACAAGTTTTCTATATCGTTCTATCAACTCTATAAAAAATTAATATTTTGGAGATAATGTTTTTGGTTTTATTGCTTTAAACTATTGATTTCTAGATTACCAAAAGAATATCAAGGAAAATACAAGTGAACGATCGAATTTTAACGGTGGAAGATACTCAAGGCATGTTTTTAATTCTTGCAATTGGCTTATCGTTAGCTGTGTTCGTCATAACCATAGAGTCATCGATTAATTTCATTAAAAAATGTGGAAAAAATGACGAGGACAAACGTACAGATGGCTTTCTCACATCGATCAATCAAATAGATTCATCTACTTTACGTAAAAATTCCTCATCCGAAATCAAGTGGAGACCAATTAGAGGTGGAAGTATATAAATATAGTGCAGTGTTAATTACTCTATACTATGTAAATGTTATTCAAATTAACTTTGAAAATAAAAACACAGACAAAAATATTATTGAAAAGGTATTTTATTACATTAACATTATTGCATTTCTAAAGGTACTTATTAACTTTGTTTTATTTGTTTTTCTTTGTAATATTTTTTTTTTATGTCTTTAAGAACAAAATTAATAAACTTTGAAATTTATAAAAAAAAAAAGATTTATTAATGTATGATCATTATTGTTACATTTAAAAATTAGATTTGAATATCATTAACATGGACTTAATGAAAATTTTACAGATAAAATTATTGAAAGTTGCAAATTAAAATCTATTTATATTTCATATTTTTGGATTCACATGAATCGTGGATGCTAATCTAGTAAGAAGATTTTAACTTTTACGCCATTCAACAAATAAGAATACACATCCAATTGAATAACTAGTATTTTCACTTAAAATCTTATTATAAATCTGAAAAAACTTCACAGAACCTTTTTGCAATTAGTAAATTGGCTATTATAAACTAAATATTAATAACTATCGGATAATAATAATAATAACAATAATAATAACAATAATAATGAAATATATAATAGTTATTTTTTATATTTTTGTCAATAAAATTGTGAAACGTAAAAATCTTCGTGATAAAAGGATGAAAAGATTAAAACGAATATTTAAATGTATAAGTAATAAGTCTTATGTTAATATGAAATTGATTGGTAGCAGTGAAAAGAAAAATAAATTCAATTCTGTGAATTAATATATTTATTAACGCTTACATTAACATTTTTATAAATAAAGGATTGTAATTGATGTTAATAAATAATTTTATATTACTGAAAATTAAGTTTTTTTTTTTTTTTACAAATAACATTCATTATAAATAAACACCCATGCAACTCATAATATTAAACATTTATCATTCTACATGACCCGAAGATAATCGGGGTCAGAGTATAGAAGGTAAGAATAGGTTACATACTAATATCGAATACAAAGATGATCCTTGAAGGTTTATCGTTCCCATCATGGATCAAACATTAATACAAAGGATCATACGCGCGTGAGACTGGGTGTCGAAAAATTTCGTCTTAGTCTTATAAATTCATTAACTCGATTAATGTGCTGACATAATTGGGAATGGTACTGTGTGATATAAGGTATGATAAAAACATGATATACGGTAATTAAAAAAAAAAAAATTCAAATTCATTGCCGATGTAACAGATTAATTTATAAACTTATATGGTGCCAAATGTTATCTATTGCTGCTGTACATTTTTTTACAATTTACTACCACTGAGTAACTACCAAAACTCTGCCGAAAGCCATATAAGTAAATTCATTGTTTATTATTTGACTTTCAATCATATTGTTTTTCACTATTCTAAATAAATAAAATTTCGTTATTTAAACAGCTCCTAGAACAATAATACTAATTTATAATCCATCGGTTATTAATCAATTATTTTTTCTAATTTGTTTCATGAAAAGCCACCTCAAATATTTAAGATTTGCTTGCATGAATTATGTGACAAACTTCAGAGTCTATAGTAATACAAATTTAAAAAGTTACAGAGCTAAAGTTTTATGGAAACCCGAACGATAAAGTACTAAGAAAAATAATTATTTTTTTTATAATTTTATGAAATATAAATATTAAGTGTATTTAGTTGGATAAACAATTTAATAAGATGGCTACAGCTAAATCCGTTCAATCTGGATTTCAGCCAGTAAGTTCGTAATTGATACTATTTTTTCAGGTTATAAAATATCTTATTTATTTTTAGGATTCGGATGTGCACGTAGCTTTTGAAGATCAACAAAAAATTAATAAATTTGCTAAACAAAATGCTAAAATGGAAGATTTGCAAGACGAGTTAAAAAGAAAACAGGTTAATTATAACTCTTTATATGAAATTAATAAGTAATTGTAATGGCACTGTACTGTAAAAAAAAATAATAATTACCTTATAAGGACTTGGAAGTACATGATTTATGTGATTGATTTTAATACATTATTGACCAGTAAATATTAATAGCAAATTCAGGGTATTTAAATTTTGATGTATTTTTAGAATGATCTACAAAATTTGAAGGATGCTTGTGCTGAAATTGAATTATATGACGACGATGCAAAAATTCCATATCACATTGGAGAAACTTTTGTACAGCAGGATTTAACAACAACATTGGTAATTAAAAGCTTTCTTACAATTAGTAATGTCGATTATAATATTTTATTGTTTATTTTATAGCAACTTTTAGAAGAAGGAAAGAAAATTAAGGAAAAAGAAATTTCAGCATTAAATGAAAAATGTAGTGCTTTAAAAATTATTATGAATGACTTAAAGACACAATTATATGCAAAATTTGGAAATCACATAAGTCTAGAAGCCGAAGAAGAATAAAGAGTATTGTATAATTTTGAGTACTATATTATCAATAGCAGTATATTCTTATAATACAAAGGTTCAAATAATATATTAGTGATTATTTATACATTGTAAAATAGTTAAGTTATTTAAATTTGAACAATTTTGAATTACCTTTCAATATGATTATTGGAGAAAAAGTTTTTACAAGTATTTTAAATAAAAATATATTTAAATAGTAATCGATATAAAGTTTAATTTTTTTTTCATCTATATTTATATATTTTTCTGAAATTTATAATTCATTCGTATTTTGATGCAAGTTTTTCAATGTAACAATGAGGTTAAAAATAATATTTTAATTTGTATCGTGATGTTGTATTATTTTTCAAAAATTAAAAAAAATTTTTAAAATAATACAATTATAAACGAAAATTCACATTAAAATTAATTTCAACTTAAGTGACAATAAAATTGTTACTTTCTTTATGTGGTTTTCCAATAATTAAAAATATTCAAGAAATTTACAAATATTTTACAGGAATTACGGAAGACTATCAAATAACTAATTTTAAACAAATATTTTTTCTAAACTTAAATAAATATTTTTATGAACATCTCACTTTAAATAATTTATACAATTAATATGTGAATGCATCTTAGTTTATTTGTATAATAAATGTAGTATATAGTAAAATGTTGTATAATTTTACTCGATACATTATTAGTTTAATTGATAGTACATTCAAATTTATTGTGATTTTTTTTATTACTCTTTATGATATTTTCTCAATTTTTATGTAAATAATGTTATTTTAATTTTCTAACTCAATAAATTATTTTAAATTTTCTTAGTAGGAAAATAAAAATTTATATTATTTTTACGAATTATTATGAAATATATCAAACACTTTTAATTAAATTAAAAAAAAATTTATGTTTACTTTTCATCTTATAATCTATTGTTAATTGACTAAATAAAATAAAAAATACTATCAATAAAATCATTTAATAACTTTAATAACTTTATAGCTTTTAGACACAAACACTTAAATAATTTTGTACATTGATTAACAATATTTATTACTCATCTGCAGAATATATGATATAGTTCTGTTATATTTTTTAATAGAATCTATTATTATTATTATTTAACAATAAATATAGAATTCATAAAGACAATTGAGATAAATAATATTTTAATAAATAATTTGAGTCATTAAAATGTATATATTATAAAAATTGTTAAAGAAAATATTTTTAATTATTTGAAGAAAGTGTATTTCTAAATCATTAAGAGATTAAATAAGTCATTTTCGAATAATATTTTAAAACATATTTTCATACTTTTAAAATATTTGTTTAGATATTACATGTAAATTAAATCAATAAAATTTATGATTTTATAAAGTATTAATGTCATAATAACAAGTTTTTTAAAAAATTTGTGTAATATTACAAAATTAAAACATAAAATTAAAATATTATAAAGTTAAATATTAAATTGTTACTAATAGTTAAGTTATTTAAAAAATAAGTATTCAAAAATATGATGAATATATAAATGAATGCGTTTTTTAATTATTTAAATATTAAAAATTGTAAGAATAACATGTTACATATTTCATTAAAATATTTTTCAAAAATGTAGGATATTTTGTAGCATTAACAATATCATCTAAAAGATATATTCACCATTTAGTTAAAATATTAAATAATAATAAAAAAGATGAAATGAAAGATTTAAAATACTTTTTATGTATACAAACATTGACATATATGTTAAATTTGATATAAATTTATAATAATTCATAAATATTTTATTTATACTACTAAAATTAGTTTCAATCATATTTAAATGATTTTTTTACATTAACTTAAATACTTATTTTCATTAAACGATATTTATGTTATTTCAGTATAAAATACATTTATTTTAAAGTAAAATTTTTTTTCTTTAATACGAGGTTTTGAATAAATTTGAAAATATGTATCACATATCACAATTTTTATGTAATTTAAAATTAGATCAATCTCTCATTTATATATTAGTTATCATTCAAATATATTACAATATGGATCAAATAATTAATGCATTAATTTTTTATATAGTAATAGTTAATATTAAATATTTTCCCTATTAAAATTATTAAAATATTTCTGTTAACTTTATAAAAAAAAAAAAAAACTATCAGACTATTGACATAATTAATTAAAATTAAATATACATATATAGTTTGTTTAAGGTTTTATACAAATAGTTGGGAATAGTACAAATAGTTTAATTTACCTTTATTTAAAAAAAAATATATATTTTTTTAAAATATTGGTTTAAGACATCCATTATTTTTTAATTGTATTAAAACATCATAATTGAGTTAAGATGATATATAATTAATTTACACAATTAAATTTTGTAGGTAAATATCAAAGATAATATTATTTGAAAATGTTTAATATTTAAATCTTATGAATCACGTTTTCTAGTGAAAGCAAAGAGCATCGAAATATATCTTAGTATCAAATTAATTATCTGTAATTATAAAATAATTAATTATTTATAAATGTCTATGCGAAATAGATTTTAAAGGATTAACACTAATAAAATCAGACATACATTGCAATATATTTTAAAAGATGCAGTGAAAATTCTTCCAATTTTGATTTGTTTAGGCGATTGTGATATTATCATTATTAATATAAAAGAGCGTATAATTCTTTTCGGTAATATGTACCAGCAGCTATTATAAATATTAAAAAATATGTCTGAACTCTGAAAATTGTTGATCAATATTATTGTTATGTTATTTTAAAGTAAATACTATTATTTAGTATTTATCCTTATTTAAAATGTATATATAGTCATTTGAACATTGTTAATATTTAATAATACTAAGTATAAAAAATCCGTTAAGTATAATTAAAAAATATATATATATAAACTATAAATTTTATATATTTTAAGCTTAAGCTTTATGTTTATATACGAAATTTATATATTACATAGAAAATTAATAATGAATAAATTCTATTATGATTAATCATTTTTATTTTATACGTTAAAAGGACTTACACTTGTTGCAAGACTCTCACTGGCAAAAAAATCAAAAAATGTATGCAGCATTTGATTAATTAAAGTTCCACCGAGTACAATTATCTGTACTGTTATGCATTTATACTCCAATAGCTATTAAGTCATTTAAATTTAAATAAAAAATTGTAGTCAAATTTGGATAAATTTTATATAAAATATTTAGAATTCTATGTAATTTATTCCATAATTGTATAGAATTTAGAAGCAAATTACTTAAAATTAGTTTATAAATATCGATATTTCTTTAATAAATATATTATGTGTATTTAACATTAGTTCTTATCAATTTTTATTAAAATGTTTCTTTTAAATTAAGATTTTTTTTCTCTTTACGTGAGTGTAAATCTTTTATTCGGTTATTTTCAAATATTTTATATAAATAATGTGTAAATAATTTATGATGACTTACGTTTAAAATTATAATTCCTGTACAACACACTAAAACAGTCATGAGAAATATTTGTGATGCAATTATAAAAGTAAATGATTTTTCCAGAACTGCGATCGTTCTGTAAAAATATTAGTTAAGCGTATTACTCGTAAAATTTGTTAAAAAATTTAATTAATTTTTTTATTAGATTTTTATAACTATGAAACAATAATAATTAATATATTTTATTTTTTACTAATTGTTTATACAATAATAGAGTATACTTTGCCTCTGTATAAGTATTGCGTACTGATTACAACATAAAAAATTTAAAAAATTTATATAAGCCATGATTATATTAAAACGAAATCAAATAATTATAATAATATGAAATTATTCTTGATGAGTATACACTTAGCATAACGATTGAAAGCAATTAAATTTAATAAATGGCATTTCATTAAGTCACCTCATCAGATATGCATGCCTTTCGATGAAGATTCGCAATTTCTTATCGATATCATTTGTATTTCCTAAAATACCGTCATTTTGTTGAATAAAATCTGTGATATTTGAATTGAGAATCAAAAACTGCGCACTTGTATGAAATACTAAGGTTCCAAAGTAATGATCAGGAATGTTCATTGACATACTCATAAAGAAACCACCAATTATTTGGGTTATATGTGTTAATTCAAAATGAGGACTTCTGTTATAATCATAAGGATAATAAGATTGTATAGCTAAATGATGACTCTCGTAGTCCGTAATATTAGATATTAAACGCATATCAAAACCAATTAAAGGTCCCGTAGCAAAACCCAGATAGCATATCGCTAACGAAATATAATCGAAAATAATGAAATTTCTCATCCAAAAAGCTTTTTGCTTCATGATTTCAACCTCCCACTTCTTTTTGGGTCGTTCCCAATCTATGATCATCGACTGAACTACTGGTTGTAATTCTTTCTTAAAAATAAATTTCAATTAATAGATTCGATAAAGATACTGTAAAATAATAATTAGATTAATAAAATAATTTGTTTCTATGAGGCTATTTTCAAAAATGATATTGTCCAAGAACATTTAAAGCTATTTTTACATTTATTGATTATATCTATTAAGAGTTAATGCCAATAAAATAAAAATAAAAAATAAAAGAAGAAGAAGAAGAAGAAGAAGAAGTTGCAAAACATGCAAATAATAAGCTATTAAAAAATCAAAATAAAAAATTTTTTCAGTAAACAAATGTCCCATAATTACCTATTTTATTATACCAAATAAAGAATAACTTCACGCAACACAAACAAGCAGTAAAATTTGTCATCAAATTGTTGATTACAAGCTCTATATCATTAATAATCATTACAAGACCAAACATTTGTGGCAAAATAATAAAAATAAACATGATTAAAATCATACAGGGTACTCGTAGTTCTGTAAAAAATGATTTTGACTCATTATCTTCATTGATAGGCCAGACTCCCATTACCTTAAGACCAAATCGATTTAAGCCCACAGCCCACATAAAATCTGTAATTTAAAAATCATCATTAAATATATCATAATGGATTTTTTACTGTATTTTAGTATAAGAAATTAGTAACACTACCTTTACTATAATTATGTGCCCCTTTCATTATTAATTTTCTCGATATTGGTAATAGTTGTTTACGCATTAATTATCACAATTTCTGTATATATTAAGAAATAGTATAATTCTACGAAATAAATAAAATATTTCAATTTTTATATTATTAATACAACAATTTACTTTTATAATATTATTCTTGATTTGAACGAACACACTTGTTTTTTCTGCATTAAAAGAAAATTATTGTCTTTCATACAATATAAAAAACAATGTTCTTTAACATAAAAAGAATTTATATTATTTTTATATAATTTTATAATTGGTTCATAATTTTCTCAATCACTTTTTCTATCAGTGCAGAAGATTTATTTGTACCGTTGAAAAAATATAATACTTTGTATTTATATTCATATTATATAAACATTTAAGTATACGTAATTTTACAACAAAAAATTATTATTTTAATAAAGTTCGTATAATATCACAACTCTTCTTGGTGGTAATTATTCATGATGAAAATAATGATTGTTATTATTTAGTAAATTTTAATCAAAATCTTTTAATACGTTGATTTCATTATTTAATATAAAGTTAGTGAATAATTTTGTTCTGAAACGTAATTCGGTCCAACTATTCTTTCATTTAAAGTAAAATTGTTACAAATAGATTAATGCGCGTACATTATTTGAATACAATTAGTATAAAAAGATCTTTTTATTTTTATTTCATTAATTTTTTTAAAGAACTAATTCATCTGTATTTTGTATTAAAAAGAACATACTTTTGCACATATTTGCCATTACTAATTATATCAAGCTGCCATTATAAAACTTATTATTTTTTATTTTTTAGTTTTTATTACATTTACATTCCAATATTTCTGGGAACTCTCGAGATACTTGTATGAATTATGTTAGGTTTAGTAAAATTTACGAACTGAAAGAGCATCTAAATGGATAGAATAAAGGGGCCGAAAAAAGTGGGAGTAGGCCTCAATCATCGAATATTCGTCAAATAATAATGGCAATTTATTTCTAATTAATTAAATGGGTAATTCGGAAAGTTTTATAAGTTATTATGTCGGATAACGGCTTCCGTAAGAATAATAGGATTCCATAATAGCATTCACCAAAACTACGACTTACCATTAATTATGGAAGTTATAATTTGCATTATGATTCAGTGTATAGCTGAGCCATTGATGCATCATTTATGAAATTCAGGCCGATAATCTATCAATATAAAATATAATGAATAGAAGCTTACCTGGAAATGAGCTTTATTTTGAATGCTATAAGCTGGACTTTTTCTTTTTATTTCTGTAATAACATATTTAACTGATACTGATTATTTAAATGTTTAAGAAAAAAAAAATGTCTATTTGAATGTTTGATTTAAAGAGTTATTTTCGCTTGTACTATTAACAAATTTAATAATACCATTATTATTATTATTCGTATATGAAGTAATGGGCTTGTTACTTAAAATGATGAGTATTATATTGACAAGTGCGCGTGAATGTATTATTTTAGTTTACAGTAAATATATAATTAGAAAAATATCTGCTTTGGTAATAATACTACTGTTAAAAATCTGCAAAGACGAAAAGGTATTTTTCTTATTTTTAATGGCATTTAACTACTTAATTTATATTACATTTAATAAGCATAAGCATATTGTGGTCTACACATTTCTTTTAAATTTTATTTTAAGAATAATTTATTTATTCATATTAATTTATTGATTCGTGAGAGCCTTTTTTCTTGACATTTAACTTGCATTAATTTTAAAAAATCTTCGTGATTTTTATTGTTATTTGTATTGAAAATTTGTCTTTCATTAACAGCATAATTGACTTTATAATACATGCAAAGCACAATACGAGCAATGCTAGTGTTGAGAATACACTCGTAATATCTATTTCGGTTATTTTTTCTTTTTCGAAGATTCTCGAAACTTCATTTAAAAATTCACAAGTTGGAATTTTTTATGTGCAATAATACAACAAAAAGGAAATCTAATCATTTAATTGATAATCAATATAACAATGTAAATTATATTAATTATTACATAATAAGCGTGTAGAATGAGTCAAGAGTGAAAAGTAGAATCAAGTGATATGATAAAAAAGATAAATGTAGGCAAAATAGATAAGGAATAGATTGAAAATGCCAGAGAAGATAGTTTTGTCAATGTGCATGAATTGCACAATTGGTTATTATGAGCACATATAACATTCAAAAGGTGAAAGTAATATATCATGTATCACTTGCTAATTTGTAAATGCTTAGATAAACTAACATTTTATTATCAAAATTTATCGTTAAGTATTTTTTCTAATCTTTGCAAGTGAAACAAGATGACTTTTCTTCCTGAATTAGTGACACATGGAACGCACAATACTCGATATTGTCAAATAATATTTTAATTGAAATTTGAATTGAAACTAAATTTTGCTAATTTATAGCAATTATATATTTTGATTGCTATACAAATTTAGAATTATTATATACAAAGAATATGTATAAAGTGTTGTATAATATAATGGAAAAAATGTATAAAGTGTATTATAGTCAAATTTAGACTTGCATATTAATTATACGATAATAATAAATTTTAACTTAATTTACTTATTATATATAAGTCGTCAAGCCAATACTCAAATGTTTTTGTGAAAATATTAAATCATTCATTTTTATAAGTAAAAATGAATAAATATAATTCTTATAAAATATAAAAATATTAAGTTATTTAAAAATTCAAATGCCTAAAATATTAATCGTTTTAAGTTTATTTATTTATTTTTATTTTTTTTTAAATTTATTAATGTTATAATGACTGAAATTTAAATAAATTTAAATAATAAGCTCAACCATTGTATGCAATAAACAATATTATAATACATTATAAAAATACGATTATTTGTCATTGCGTGTACAAGTAATTTCATAAATTTCTTCACTTATATATATAAATTAATTACATGATTTAATTCAACTAGGTAATCACAGCTTAAGGTGATGAGTATAGCAAGTCAATAAAGTATTTCTCAGGTAATTTCATCCAACACAGCAAAAATGTTTTTTTTTGCTCTCTTTTTTTATGGATGGTAAAAAACTTTTACTTTCCGACGATCCTTGTAATATGGTGTTTATACTTGAAAAAGATGTAGTTTGCGATGATACTTCGGTTTGATTATTGTAATTTTCAACTGACGTTAGAATTTCTGCATTTAATCGACAATTATGGACTTCAGAAATATCATTTCTATTTCTTTGCAAAGTACTTGCTTTATTATTAGTAAAATCATTCGCATGTATACATTTTTGAGACTCGGTATCTAATTCCATGTTTATATTTATATTCTTATTTACATCAAATTTTGATTTTCTCCTCAATACTGACTTCAAATCATCTGGAGGCATTACGCTTGATTTAGGTATATTTTTTGTTAAATCTAAATCACTAATAACGGAGTTAATTTTTCGAGCTTGTAATATTTTTGCTCTTGAATTATTCTCTTTAATGTTAATGAAATTTTCTAAGACATTCCAATATTCTTTCTTTAAAAATGTTTTATATTTCAATGAAGTTCCTGGCTCTTTAAAATTATGACAATTGTTTGTATTAGTATTAATAAATAATGTTGAGAATTGTGAATCGAGATTTCCTTGATTTTTACTTTGGCCTTCTAATATTGTTTGTCACTTATCAGCAAGAAAAGATTGATCACTTTGCCTACGATGCTGGTATGTTAAAGGAGCTACGAGTCTACTATCTTTACTTATATAATATTCGTTAAAATCCAATCGAACACTCAATAGCTGCAAGGAAACATCTTCTGCAGAAGCAAGCATCAGTAAAAATTTTTTAACTCGATCCTACAAAAAATGAATGATGTTATTTGAATTGTTTCAATCATTGTTTATTAAATTATTTATCAAATAGAATCTGAGGTAAAATTTCACTATATTACCTGATATGTTCTTGATAACAGTTTAAGTTTCATTGCCAATGTATTTAAATATTTAAGAAATAAACTCTTTCTTTCTACATTATCTACGTCTTGATTTTTCGTACAACCCCACTGATTTTTATTTTCACTTTCTGTATTAATAAATTTTTCAGAACTTACTCTTGTTTCGTACTCTGTAGTAGCACGAGCAAGAAAAGTTTCTTCGAGCGTTTGCAGTTCTAGAATTGGACCATATACAGAGCGAAGATGATTCATTAATTCCTACAAATAATTATTAGATGTTATTATAAAAAAAAATTATTAGAATAATTGTATAATTTAATATGTCAGGGTGAATGGATTTTAAATTACTTGAGATTGCTCATCGAGAAGAGTACCTCTTCGTACAGATTCGATAAAATTAGTATGTGCTATTATAATATCATCAAGAGATGACGCTTGTCCAAGTTGTTTAGCAAAAACATCCCAAGAACATTCGATAACCTAGTTGTAAAATAAATTATTAATAAAAAGATAATTTTACAAGCATTACTAATAAATGATTTACTTCGAATAAAAAATAATACTGCATTTGATGAACCAGATGTACCATACTGCTTGTGATTAAGTGAATATGTTTTTGTATTGGTAATATTTCAGGCATTTTACTAAACATTTTAGCAGATGTAATTTGCTGTTTCCATATCGCAGACAAAATTGTCTCCATTCGCTTAGCTCGCCAAAGGGAAAAAAATACTGCTTGATATGTTTGACGACTTGATTCCAATATCTGTAGTTGTTCATAATGATTATTGTAAGTCAAACAATCAAATATCACAATAAATATTTTAAAAGTTTTTACCGTTCCAATAGGTCCATCCACATTATAGTCAAGAGCAAAAACATCCCATCCAGTTTCATTATCTGAAGGTGCCAATAATCTCACATCTAATCTTTTTTGAACATCTAATTCATCTAATTTAGTACTTGTAGCTCTAATCGCAGTTTCCAAAATTGAAGCAATATTATGAGGATATAAAGAATTAGCTGGTTTGGCTAATTCTGGTCTGAAAAAGTGTTCATACATATATATATTAATTAATGTACATTAAACATAAATTTAAATTTTAGAATGAACTTTAAATATAATTCTGACTTACTCTAATAGATGCATGAGATGCTGAACAAAATGTCCCTGTCCCAATAAAAGATATCCTTTGATACCTTGTAAATGATCCATTAAGTGATATTGTTTTGTTAGAATATCAACAACTCTTATGGATGTCTCTTTATAAGCTACATCCATCATTGTTTGTAGTGGTCCATCTGGATCCATATCAAAAAATGCTTCAACTGAAATTAAATTAATAGAATTAATAGAACTATTTTAATTTACTTATGCACTAAAAGCAATGATAAATTTATGATAAATTATAAAAATATTTTGAATAATAATTGAAATAAATATTCACAAGCATATAAAAGAAAATTTATACCACCAATTTTTTCAGAAGAGCCCTTAAATACTTCGGTCTCACGACCTTGTAAGGGAGAAAAATCCTTGCACACTTCTCTTAAAAAATTGATGCTTTTTCCAGTGCCCAAAATTTTCCTTGCTTGTGCTCTATTAATAAACGATGGAACCATTGAATCTCTCACTTGATATTTTTCATGCCACATTCTCTCTCCAGCAACTTCCGCACACGACTCAATAAAGAATTCTTTATTTGGATCATCCAATTCACCATCCGTTATCCATCTTAAAAGCATATTATAAAGTGGTTCTGAAACACTCTCTAATATTCTTTTAACAAGTTTTTTTACTCTTGGATCTCCATGATGACTGAATTCATAAACAATTGAAGCAAGAGCTCCTCCAGTTTGACCCACGCAAGTTCGCACAATACTGGCTAGCCATTTAAGCGTTTCAAGAGGATCATAAGCCCATAAATGAAGATGAGAAAGCGTTACTCTATCTAATCCTAAAGGATCCTTTACTCTATTTACTTCTTCTTGTGCGTTTGCTATAAATCTATAATACTCGGCCAGTTCCTTATGAAGAGCTGCTACAAAACTGTCCGCAACTCTCCCATTACTGCCACTAACAATTCTTCCTAATCCTCGTTGAATAACATTGTATAAATATCCAAGCTCGCTGAGTCTTAAAACAGTCTGTTTTTGTGGACGATTTATTCTTATTGTCGGATCAATTTGAAATCCATAACTAGAGTCAAGTTTTAAAACTTTTCCTTCTATACCTTGAAATGAATATATAAGATCCTGAACGAGAATGTCTTCCGATATACTATCTTCATCAATTATTTTATTTGAAGTTAATAACATATTTGATTCTGTTGATAAAAATGGCACTTGTGTATGGGAAGCGTGAGAACTAGATAGTTGACAAGAATATCCTATAAAATAAATGAATTAAGTTACAATTCTTACATTCTTATATGGATAATTTATTTATGTCAATAGTATTAGTACCACTTGTTGAGGCAAATGGGATATTTAATCCTAATCTCATTTCTGAAAATACAAAACGATCATCTTGAATTCGATCGCTTGATTGACTCATTTGAAGCAGAAAACGTAGTATTCCAAGACGGTTCCTGAAGTCCTATAATATTATTTTATGAAAATTATCTTTAATTTATTTTTAAGATAACATTTTTTGAAAATACATACCCCATCTTTTAAATTGTTGTGTAATTCATCGAATAGAGTAGCATCTTGTGTAGATAATGTACTTTTAATTTGACTAGCAATCATTGTTTCATCTTCTTTTAAAGTATCGATTCCTTGTGTCGTAGCCAATAAACTTAATGAAAATCGCATGCACTTTTGAATGACTTCTATAAAAAAAAAAAAAAAAAAAAAAAAAGATTTAAATCAACAAACAAAATTTATTAAGACATTATTAACCTTACCTGGTTTTTGTTCACCACATACAGAAGCTACGAGTTTCTCTAATATATCACTAATATTCTCCAACTCTGTGACGCTCATATTTTCAACTTTCGATTCTTTACAAACGGTTACTTATTTTGACAAAATCGTCCAAGTTTATTATACAACTCGCATTAACTACGTATTAGTATTTTAAAGTGGGAGGAGCCGCTGTCTTGTCGACATATTCCAAATTTTTTAATCATTTATACTTCGAATTTTAAATAAAACTACACTGACATTCTTTCATGTTTAAAAATTGTTTGTCTTTGTAAATAATAGTTAATTTTCTATTTCAATTATTTAAATTTAGTTGAATAATAATTATTATTTTTATGTACTTTACATTTTAATTATTTTTTAAAAATATTTTCAGTATAATTATTGTGGTCGTGAGTGATAATTTTTAGCCCCGCCAATCAAAAACAAAAAAAGAAATATTACTCAGTTAATCGACGAGACGGTTCTCGGAAGATTCACTAATGAAAATAGCTTAGTATCGATTATTTTCCTTCATAAACGATGATTTATTTAAATCCATAGCAATGAATGTCGAGGTATTCACATACTGTTAATTATGACAAAAAGTCTAATATAATCGACTAACTCGGATCTTTAATATCAAAGGATCTTAGCAATTTAAGCTGTCGGTGGGACAAAAGCATTAAACGAATGGAGCGTTACTTGGTTTCAGATCCCTACTACGCATGCGCCCATAGCGGTCCAGTGTCAAGTCTTTTTACTGGCAATTCCGAATCGTTAAGTCGTCCGTTGGAGTGCGTCAGCTGATGATGAAATAAAAAAGCATGTAAGACTCATCCAGAAATTTTAATGAGACAGTACAGATACTTTGACTTTTTCGATTAAGGAATAAAAATTTTATTGATAAGACATGGTAATCGAACAGTAACGACACATTAAATTAGTTTACTTCAATTTTTTCAACTACCTATTTTGTAAATTATCAATAGCTTAATTGTATTTATTTTCTTCTTTTTTAAAATTAAATAATCGTATCCCTTTAAACACCATGTTTTTAAATTTTATATAATTATGTTAATTAAACGTTCTGCTGAAAGAATTAAGAATTTAAGATTGAAAAAATCTTACTATTAATCTCATATAGTTAAACGACAATTAAAAATATAATTAAGTTTCTGTATACATTGACCATTTAATAATATTCTGTTAATACTATTTTTCATTAAACAAAATATAATAGATTTCTAAAGTGATTGATTGAATTTACATAGTTACAAAAAATAAAAAACTTTAATTACAAAAATTGTAATTGTGTTGCAGTTACAAATGCATAAATAATTACAGATTTTTAGAAAATTAAAACTTCACAATATCTAAGTTATTATTTTGTTACAAAAAAATTAAAAATTAAAAACCACTTACTAATTTATTAATTATAAAACATTTGATTGTTTATTAAATAATTTTTTTTGTCGTTAAATTTTATGTATATTCGCTTTTCAAGCAGAAGAAATAATTCACTATGAGTAAAGTAAAAATTATGTATTATATTTGACTGTCAATAATATACGTTATTTTAGAGCAAATATATTAAAATATATTAATATTTTATATTATATTGGAATTTAAAAATTTAATATATATTTTCCACTATATATTTGCTATTTTTTAACGTATGAAATTTACTAGACTTACAGCTATATTGCGATTATAAGTTAGAATTATCATTTTTCTTTTTGATTTAAATTTTGTGGAAAATAATTAAAGTGGATGGCATATGTTTTCTACAGCTTCTAGGTTAGGATTAAATTATTTATCAACAAGACCATTATTCTTCGTTGTTTAGCGAAAGTAGTGAAATTACTTTCAATGAACAATTTTTGACGTAATATCATAAATAAGAGGTCTTCGATATAAATTTCATTGGAAATATAACAGTGACTAATAAAGTAAAGCTAATCCTGTACTTTGATTGGGTAAAATAAGAACTATTGCTCTTTACACTACTGTAGGTTGGATAGACTACGAATAATAATTTGCGCTTAAATTTAGGCTGTCGTAAAAATTTATGTAATTATTAATTTACATATATTTTTATTATTACTCGAAGATTAAAACGAACGTAAATATTTACCTTATAACTTTTTAATTCAAGTGTGAAATATAACTACGTCATAAACAGCTAAATAAATAAATAGAAATTTCTTGAATAATTATAAATATTTACAATCTAAAATGATTTTTAAGTGCCATTTAATATATTAATCTTTGTAGGCTTAATAATTTCAGCTTTTAAAATGAATGATTTAAAGAAAGAAATTTTAACCAATAATTCGAAATTTGGTAAAATTAGTTTTAAATTGAATACTAAAACTATTGAAAGCTTTGCTGCTGAGAAAGATGCGAATCAATCGAATTCTGATGTAGCAACGATAAATTCTGAACTAGAATCAGTGAAAGATGTAAATACAAATATCGATAAAATAAATAAACCAGATTCAGAAGGTAGTTCAGGATTTGGTACTTTTGGTAAAAAACCAATTGAACAAAATACTGAAGCGATAGTGGAAATAAAGCATGAAGATGAAGAAGAGAATAATAAATTAAACGTAATCATGGGTATGTCATCGTTTGGTAAAAAAGCTCGATGTTTTGATGTAAAAGAAATGATGGAAAATATCAAAAAAACAATTGATAGTACTAAATCAGTGAACGTAAAAGATAGTGATACTTTTAAATATAAAAGTAAAACTTCGAATGAAATTAAATTATGTACAAGCGACGATAGCAGTGACGATGACGATGATTTAATTGGCCCTCCAATACCATTATCATTAGCAAATTGTAATGCGGATGAAAATTCAAAATCAACATCAAATACCAGAAATAATGAAAGTAGGAGTTTTAACGATAATGAGGATGATGATGACGACGACGATGACGACGACGACGACGACGACGACGACGACGACGACGACAATGAAGATGATAATGATCAAGAAGAAAATGATCTGTTTAATAGGATCCCTTTTAATCAAGAAATGTCAATGACTCATGGCACTAAAGCTGTGACTGCTATAGCAGCTGATCCTTCTGGAGCTAGACTTGCCTCAGGATCGGTTGATTATGATCTTTCATTTTGGGATTTTGGTGGAATGGATACTTCTTTGAAGAGTTTTAGAACTCTGCAGCCATGTGAAAACCATCCTATTAGATGCCTTCAATATTCAATAACTGGTGATGTTATTTTAGTAATTTCTGGATCAGCGCAAGCAAAGGTTCTTGATAGAGATGGTTTTGAGAAATGTGAAACGATAAAAGGAGATCAATATATTACTGATATGGCTAGAACAAAGGGACATACTGCTTCTCTAAATAGTGGAACTTGGCATCCAATTATTAAAGAAGAGTATCTTACTTGTTCTCAAGATAGTACATGTAGAATTTGGGTTCTATATAAACCGAAAGCTCATAAAGCAGTAATAAAATGTAGAGCTCAAAATGGAGTGAAAACTGTACCAACTTGCTGTGCTTACAGTAGGGAGGGTAACGTTGTTGCATGTGGCTGTGCTGATGGTTCGATACAGATGTGGGATCACAGGAAAAATTTTGTTAATCCATCGCTAATTAATAGAACTGCACATGCGCAGGGCTCAGATATTTCATGTCTTAGTTTTTCTTACCTTGGTTTTATGCTGTCCTCTCGCAGCTGCGACGATACTCTCAAGCTTTGGGATTTAAGATCTTTCAAAGCACCGCTTTTTACAATTTCAAATTTATTCTCTAGATATGATTCTACCGATTGTATGTTCAGTCCAGATGATTCCATGATTTTAACCGGTGAATCTCTGATAAAGGGACGGTCTGCAGGTCGATGCTTGTTTTACAATACAAAGACTTCCGAATTAGTTCATCAAATTGAAGTCACTAACTCCCATGTAATTAAAACTTTATGGCATCCAAAGTTGAATCAGATATTTGTTGGCTGTGGCAATGGTATAGTGAAGGTATATTATGATATAAAGAAAAGCTTACGGGGAGCCAAGTTGTGTGCAGTGAAACAGAAAAATAAACAGAAACATGTCGAGATGATGTCTACGCAACAGATAATTACGCCTCATGCATTGCCATTATTTAGACAAGATCGACCTAAATCCATTAGAAAACAAATGGAAAAAGACAGATTAGATCCCGTCAAATCTAGAAGACCGGATCTACCAATCACATCTGGACAAGGTGGTAGAGTTGCTTCTTCAGGTGGTACACTCAGCTCTTATGTAATTAGAAATTTAGGATTAAGCAAAAGAATCGAAGATGATCAAGATCCTCGAGAGGCTATTTTAAAATATGCTAAGATAGCGGAAGAAGATCCTTACTGGATCACTCCAGCATATAAAAAGAATCAGCCTGAACAAATTTTTCAAAATAATGCTGAAGATGATAGCGATGAACCATCAAATAAAAAGCAAAAATCATAATATAAGTTAAACATTAATTGTAAAATAATTATTTAATATAATAATTGTATATAAGTAATACTGTTTTTTAATTGAATAGTATTAAAAACTGATCATTTTTTAATTCTTATTTTTCATTTTATTTCATACATATAAATATATTTATTTTATGTTACATAAACTAACCTAGGGGTAGTAAAAAGTAGGGATAGATCTTTGCAATTAGATGAAGAGTTGTGCTTATGCGATAAAAGTTTTTACCAAAATTTTTAAGTTTCTATCTCATCCATAAGATAGTAAACACTTTGTTTATGTGACGATAATTTTTATTCTCAATTTTATTATACTATCTGCTGTATATACTTTTTGTTCGCTGTGCTTTCTTACAGACTATAAAAAGAATACAGAATACAGACTATATTAATAGAATTATTTATGCATAGAAATAATTTAGTCAATAATAAATATTTCATCGACATTGTAGGTAATTTAATAAAGAAAGAATGTGAATATTTGTAGCTATCTTTTATTATATGTAATTCAACATTTAAAATTTGAATAATAAATGCTTAAGTAATTATAATAACGATGTCACTAGCTTCTTTACTAATCTCTTACAATGCTTCTTATACATAACTTATATGAATATGTAAATAATTAAATATCTGTAAATTAAAATGGTTGATTTATATTTAATTAAATTGTAATGATATATATATATATATATATATATATATATATAAAATAAAAAACTTCTATCCTGACAGTCAAATCCTTACATTTGGAATATTCACCTACTACAACTGTTTTTAAAAATTTATGAAGATTAGATATAAATATGTACATATATTCAAATATTTACAAATTATAATACGTGTTTATGTATTATATATTTTTATATTCTTCTTTGTTTCTTCTTTTGTGTGTTTAATGTTTATTAAAAAATAATATCATTTTTCATAAAAAATATTACTTCAATAAACAAATAATCATTTATATCTATAAAGGTAAATTTTTTATAATCTAAGAAGAAATATTAAATTAATTTAAAAAAATAAAGGTATCAATATTCGTGCGTTTGAGGATTAAATATTAAGCATTAATGTGATAAGCATTTCTGTATATAACTGTTTATACGAATACTTCCAAATTGAAACACTAATAATAAAAAAATTTTTCCTTTCGATTTAAAAAATAATCTTTTTCAGCAGATGTCCATGAATGCTTATTTCAGTGAAAATTATAAATTAAAGAATATAATTAACATGGCTACAAAAAATATTCAGTCTCTCCATTTTTAAATTAAGAAATTGTAAGTAGCATTAATTAGTATGAATTACTTTAATTTACTTTAATTAATGCAATAGAAAAATGTTATATTAAAACGAATAAATAAAAATAGGTGTTAATTAATTTTTTCATAACAGAAAATATAATTAAAAAAAAATTAAAATACTTAGTTCATCAGCTAAAAGCTATAATGTTTATCAAAACAATAATCTATATCAGATAAAGCACGTTTCCATTATTCAATTTTATGATTAATTAAACTTTTTGAAGCGCTAATAATTTATAGAGTGATTTATTTACAAACAATTGTGTATAATATTTTTTATTCGATAATATGAATTTTTCGGTATGATAAATGGTAAATTAATAAATGTTATACTAAATAAATATAGAATATATAAGAATATTTATTATTATTGTTTTAAAAATCTATAAAATTATGTGAAATACTATATACAAATTTTCTTTTAAGATGATTTTCTTAAAAGCATAATTTAGAAATAATTTTAATTATTTATGTTGTATTGTAATCTTATATAAATAACGCATTTTATCTATGATTTACTTATTAAAAATAATTTTATATTATCTGATCAAATTATTTAAATAGCTTATTTTACATATATGTTGCTGATACGATGATACGATTTCTGGTCTTTAATACAAATTTTTTTATGTATGAATATGTGTATAATTTATATTCAGATAAATAATAATTTATACGTATGCGATTATAATATTACATAAAATGACTCGTTCACAGCTACGTCTATTAATTTGCCTAAATTTAAATGGTTATTAATAATAATTAACAATAATTAACAATAAATAATAATTATACCTTGATATCTTTATATTAAATTTATGCTTTATATTAATAATAAGCGTGTATTATTACTTGAAATTAAAATAATGATAACATTTGTAATAATTAATTTGTTTTATAATATACAGTAGTAAAATTAAATATGTGCAAATCTATTTTAGTTCAATAATACTATTTATCATTTTAATACGATATATCACATTATTATATGCGATGGCAATTATGTATGAATATATAATTATGAGAAACTTGTCGGTGCAGAATCTTGACAATGAATGTATGCGTGTTTGCATGAAACTTATAATTTAAATTCACTACGCAATTACTTTAATTTTTTCCTTTACATCAATCTAATTACAAAAAATGTTTCTTGTATGACAGTCGGTCCCTGTTTAGTCGGCGATTCCATCAAATTTAGTCGTTGTATCCTTCATAGAGTACTATATGGTACTCCATACTCTATAGTAACTATAGAGAATTCTAGGCCTTTATGAATCAATAATTATTGATTAAATTTTCAGTGCCTTCAGTGCATCAAATATATGTTCATTAATGTCCACGGCATATATGCTACTAATTTGGTTACATTGCAATTAGTTAATTTCTTCTTAAGATATCGAGGGGCTGTCGAAGATCGTTGACAAATTATCAGAATAGCTATTACTTACGCCTCTCTCTAAGAAATACGATGACTAGAAGATATCGTACTTTTACAAAATTCATTTTACAACTAAAGTGAATTAAATGTAAAAGCCTAAAATAGTAAGTATTTTCAAGTTCATTTTACCAGTTCATTACTGAATACGATTTATTATGATTTTTGTAGTGAAATACTTAATTATATAGACCCATATATTAATATAGAGCCAATTATTCATATGCGATTCATTATTATTCATTAATTTCATGCTTAGTTTATGCTTAATACGTATGTAGCGTCATTATCAAGTAAAATACATTTGAAAAATTCAATATCACTAAAATGCTATTTTCAGCTTATCTGCTAGAAAATAGCTATTCATTTCAAATATATCTAATTACTATTTAAATTTATTGAATGTGATAAGAAAGATAATATCCGACTTAATTTGTACAGTCAGTTTTGAAATTTATATTGGATGTTGATTTTCACATGAAAATCGATATTAGTTTAAACTTATCGTATAAAACATTAAAAATAATCAAATATGGATCATATTCTGCCGATCACAGAGAAATGAAAAACTAAAGTAGGGAAACGCACGTTTAATGATTGATTTGGTAAATGTAAGAATGTGTCACCAATGCTAAATCCAATCCAGCTATTGGCAATTACACGTTGAAAAGTAGTAATTAGAATTTAAGGATCCGTAGTAAAGGAGATGTATATTTTATAAATGAGTTTTTAATACATGCATATGTACGTGCACATACATTCCTAAAACAAAGACATAAATCAAGTCTTGATTATTGTAACATAATATAGAATCTCAATAAATTAATATAGGTTAATATCTCAAAAATAGATAAAAATATTGATTTAAACCCATTCATTATAAATAGAAATCTGGGGCAGATCGCTCAAAACACGTCCGTCATTATTGAATGAAAGTGTCCAATTATCGGTTAGACACCAAATACTTCTCGAGAAAGTTTAAAACTACTATCACTTACAATTATAGTTTATTATTACACTTTACAATATTAAAAATGTTCAAACTATTAAAATATAATATGTAGGTAATATGTAATAAAATATGTAAGTGGTTTATATTTTCATAAACAAATTAAAATTAAAGAACATTGTTAGAAAGTTCAATATATATTTTTGCAACGTGCAAGTTATTTCACTATTTTGTTACAGTTAATCGGATATTATAGTCTTAGATATTAAAAAGCTAAATGTAAATTTAGTAAATGTATACAAAACTCTTTTAAAAATTAACAAATATTTCATAAAACGAATAACGAATCCAAATGACGATGAAATATATTTTCATTTATTAAACTTTACTACTATGTTACTTATATGTCTAAACATAATATATATATATATATATATATATATATATATAGTAAATAGTACACATAATTGATAATAATATTAAAAGTAATATAGATAAAAGAAATGCCGAAATATAAGTTTAATAATTGTTTATCAATAGGTTTTCACATTCCACCTTCTGAACTCTTAATAATTATATGGACGTTGATATTTATGAATTTCATGTTGTTATAATATGGATTCCTACAGGACTATTTGAATAAGTATAGGTTGTATAATAATTTTCGATTTATCTATGAATGAAGTTATTTAGCATTAAGCAGTGAAGGACTTATTTATAATGATAAATTATTATTTTTTACGTCCTTCTGTTCGATCAATAATATAATTAATGAAATATTATTAAAATAATCAAATATTTCAAAGGGTCATAAATTTTTTTTTTAACTCTAGAGTAGTCGTAAAGCGTTTATATTCTTGCACTATTTTTCAATATTTAGCTCATCTAATGGTGAGGAGTGTCCGAATTCATTTTTCTGCACACTTCTGCCCTGATCCTCCATATGTAAGAGATATTGTTGCATCCTTAGTCAAATATAAAATACAATGAATTATTGAGCAAATAATAAACAATATAATGGTTGATTATATAAAAATGTGAGCAAATTATGTTTTGACAAATTAAGTTTAAAGGCAATGCAAGTATTGCTAATGCAAGTAAATTATTTGCAATGCAATTTAAAATAAAAATAAACGCCAGTAATCATTGAATTACCCGATAAGTACAAATTATATTTTTAAGAAGATGAATCGTAATTCATTATTTTTATTTTATTTGAAATTGTGTTTGGAAACTATTACGTTAAGTTGTATAAATTCAAACTTTCTTTCTAAAACAATTTGCCCTGACATATTGTTTTTATTGATTTTTTATACAACTATAAAGATATAAAGTTAATCAGTCAATTATTCAATAATAGCACCTTTAGTAAGTATATTAAATAGCATTGCCAAATTTTTAGTACAAATGTTTGAAAAGTAATGCAGTGGCGACTTGAACAGCTACAATGTTTTGAAATTAGAAATAGGAGCGAATGAAAAGAAAAAAAAAACGAGAAACGTTGGAGTTGACAGGTAATAGGAAAGAGAATGCAATTGAAAATTAAAACTATTTACTTAAATAAAATCTTGAAGAACGAATCTTTAATGTGCAATTCCCTTTTCAGTGCAATATAAACTTAAAGTAACATCTCCCTGTTATTTTCATTTGAAACAAAGTAATTTATACACATTTTGAATCAAATCCAGTTTGACAATACTTAAATTCAAATATTTTAATAACATTAATTTTAATAAAATACGGTTAATATTAATGTAGTTAAATTAAAATATAAAATTATTTGCAACAAATATTACAGTGAACACTTTTTATGTCAATTTTCGATGGTATGGTTTTGTAATAATTCAGTTATCAGTAATCTACTTGAAATGTCAGTAAGTAGATTACTATTACTAATAAGATTATTTTTAACTTTAATTTTTTCTTAATACACTACTGACATTTCGTTCATATGACATTAGTAATATTGTAATTCTTATTTGATGCAGGCACTTTATAATACAATTAATTATACCGGTTTCCTTAATAAAATTTAATATATTAGAAATATTATCACGTTAAAAAATAACATATTCATATCGATTTTGACGAGATCTGTTTGTGAGTTTATTTTAAATGTCGGATACATAGAGCTAATATACATATGAGTCTAATGAATTGAAGTTTAAATAATTAATTATATTGTTTATTTAATAATATATCGCATACTTTATTTAATTTATAATTAATTGTAACATTGAAAAAGCGAATAACAAAAAAAAATAAATTTATTAATTAAAGGTTCAATAATATTTTAATGAAATAACTAAAATGAATCTTTTTGAGAAATGAATTTTACGTAGTATTTAAAAGTTTTAATATTCAGCCATTTAGGCATCATTTATCTATGGAATAATTTATTGTATTTTAATATAAGAAATTGAAATTATATTTCATTATAATAAAATTATATAATCAATTTTGGCAATGGCAAGGGCTATGTACTCAAGTATTGGATCGACAAAATTAAAACTAAGCTTCGTATTTATAAAAATATTGAAGTATCATTCAATAATTCAATTAAAAATTCAAATTGTTTGAAATTTACTTATTTTACATATAGATAGATATTATATAATTATCTTACAAACAGATTTGATTGCTATGTAATCGATTATTATAAATTTTGAATTTCGATTTGTTATCCTTTGGTAGCCTTCTGTAACAATAATTCAATTCATACACTAAGAGAAGCGTAGCAGTTAATAAATATTTGCTTGATAATGTAAGTTGAATAAGCAAGTTGAAGGATTTGAAATGCATATACACATTTCTGTAGGATTGTCGATTCTTGTTCCATCATTTATAAGAGTGTGATGGACGGAGTGCATAGTGCACTTTGTTCCAAATCAAAAATCGAAATCTGAAAAAATGCCAAGGCCACTTTTAAAAAGTTCCTACAGATAGCGTCACATTCCCAACACTTTTTCCCATCTCTTTCACTCACACTCCCTTTCGGTCAATTATCTTTTAACTTCCGCGTTTGTACTTTTATGGACGAATAATATGGCAAGCGTATTATAATTTATTTAAATCACGAAATTGAAGTTTTATGCTGTTCTTTTGAGTTACATACAAGTTTTTTTTTTAAAAAAAAAAAAAACAACTTTTAAAAAACATAAAAATTTAATATTTGTATTGTTGTATATAGATGTGTTTATTTTGATATTCTTGTATTCATCTGTATTTTGTATATATAAATTATTTATATAAAGAACGGTCTATCGAACTTGTAGCTGAATTTTAGCTAAATCTAGGACATTTATATCAAGTCGTACAAGTATTTTTTTTTTGTCTTTTTTGTTGTTTTTTGCAAGTATATTAATAAATTTGAATGTGATAAAGAAAGCAACGAAGCAATGGATATTCACTCGATGATATTGTATTTTCAATCGTTTGACATGCAAAATATTTAAAAATAATCTGATTATTTTATTTATTTGTGGTTCGTTATTTTTGTTAATATGTGTATATATATATATATATATATATATATTTCTTTTTTTTTTTTAAATAATTTGGAATAAAAATATTACTCAAAGTTTTTTTTCTTTCATTAAATATTATAACGATATATTATTGTTCTATTTAAAACTTCGTATCGAATTGTTTATGAAATTGTATGAATTATCTTTAGACAAAAAAAAAAACAAAAAAATCAAACGTAAGCAATCTTATAATTTCCATAAAAAAATCTACTAATTTAAGTTAATTTATATTCATTCAAAGTATAAAATGTTCTATCCAAAAATTATACACAAATGATACGTTTCAAAAATATTTCTATATTTTTATTCTTTCGTACTTTGCGTCCCTTACGAGCATCAATACCAGAGTTGAGTTCACAATGTTTCGGCTCCTCGAACATTTTCTGAGAATACATTTCTTACCTACGATGCTCTCTTTTAGAAAAGGATCTTTGTTCTCGTCTTTCGCGATGAAAATAGATTTCTAGAGGCGATATTTAAAATCTTTTTATGCCAAGAAAAATAATTCATGTTTTTGCACACCGTAATTGTATTTTATTGAATTGTAATTGCGTATCAATGATCATAGGTTCTAAGTAAATTATTATACGAATAATTATGTACAGACGGGTAAATTGCAATACTTTTGTAAGATAATTATTTTTTGTAAATGACGATTGTTTTGACAGTGACTTGTATTTTCAACATACTTTTCACTCTTTTACAGGCGCAGTACGTTAAACATCTTCTCACCAGAAGACAGACTACAGTTAGAATAGATAATCATCTATTCTAGTTTCTCTAATTGTTTGACATATACGGTTTTCTTTCATTTTTATGGCAAATACAAAATATCGCACATTACCTTTTCACCCATAAAAGTTTAAAAATAAAGAACTAGTTGGCCAAAAAAAAAAAAAAAAAATTTAAATATTCATTAGCTCGAAAATTGTTCTTTTAATTTTATTAACAATGCAATTAGTTTAGTACTAGAGACTTTGTCGAACCCTTGAACCCTTATTAATTAATCGGCGAGGCAAACTGCCGAGTTTTATCAGATACTATCAATCATACGTCATTCCAACGTAAAATTTAATCATACATCATACTTTATAATAAATTGGTTAAACCATAAAACCATAAATTAGCTTTTTATTTTCAATGAAGATAATGGAAAGAAAAAGTATCCTCTGCGAGGCACTCGATCCGACAATGCACACCGACCCGGGTAGGTCACAGCATTCAATGCGAGAGTGTCCTCGGGCAAGAATAACAAAATTCACAAATAGCGCCGTTATTCAATGTCCCATCGCATCGAGTGGGAATGGCCCCTTGAGGTGGAACTGGCTTGCCCCCGCGTACCTACGCGCACAACAACGCGTTTAACAATCAGCCAAGCCGCCCTCGGCCACATGTACGACGAGCGTGCACCTCTACATGACAGCGCCGCCACTGTCGTCGTTAGGCTCGATACGCAAATTATAGCAAAGGAGCGAGGCTCGACAACGCGTGTAACGTCTTCTCCCAGCAGCGCAGCGTTGCTCTTCAGGGTTCGCTCACACGACGCCTCGCGACTCTACCTCGGAGCCTCGTCCGAGTCCCGTCTCTATGACCTTAGACCACGGTCTAACTGTAGGGCCGTGGTCCGGTGCTAACATTCGAAGAATAATAACAATAGGAAGGCGGGCGCGCGCGTGCGCTCCCTTTCTCCACCTCTCTCCGCCCATCCGCCCTGTCGAATCGGCAAGTTTACCTGGGTAGGATTAGCTGGGGTTAATTGGACGAGTGGACAGCGAGGATGCGATAATGGGAATCCGAGGGACTCGACGACGTCGTCGTTGTCGTTGTCGTTGTTCTTGTCATGGCTCTTGCACGGTTGCCTTAGCTTTGACATGGGCTAGGGCCAGAGTACATCAACATCATCGGTACGTGCGTGGCGCCGCACCTTGCACGCTCCAAAAGTCGTGATTTAATTCGTCGAGTCGTGTTTTCTCCCGCGAGGAAGGGAGGGAGAGATAGATAGAGATAGATAGAGAGAGAGAGAGAGAGAGAGAGAGAGCGTGCGTGTAGGCGCGCGCGCGTGTTTGTGTTTGCGTGTGTGCGCGCGCGCGATCGTGTGTAGGGCGGTGAGGGGAAAGCCCTCGCCCCTCGTAGCCAGCAGTGGCCCGACGTCTCGTGGTCGAGTTTGTGTTGTGCGCGTGAGAGGAAAATTCTCGGTCGCGTTCGTTGATGAAACTGCTGCGCACCTGTCCGGCTTGGAATTCCTCTGTGCGCGCGACATACACACCGAGGGGGCCACGAACGTAGCTGGGTGAGAAAATGTCGGCCGTGGCGAACCGCTGCCGATTGGAAAGTCGCAATGCCGAAAGCCGTACGAGTGTTGCTGTGAGAGCCGCCGGTTTATGACGAACTCCTCGTGACGCGAGTGTTTAACAGGGCCAAGCGAGCTTTTGCCAAGGGTCACTAACAAACCTTCCGTCCTTGCATATTCCGTGCATAAACGCAGTACGTACTTATCGGCTATCTCTCCGCCTCTTTCTCGCTCCTTATTCCTTAAATTCTCTTGAGTCCTCTCATTTCGTTGGCCCGCTCACTACGTTTTTTTTTATCGTACGCGCGACTATCCCGCGTTGCCCTGGAATGCGCTGCTCTATGGAATTTATGCGGTGCTTGTCCTCTGCGCATTTTATCGCTGACAACACAATGATTGTCAATCCCTGTTCTGACACTGCTCTCTGCTCCCTCCTTCTCTCACTCTCTCACTCTCTCTCTCTCTCTCTCTCTCTCTCTCTCTCTCTCTCTCCCTCATTTTTGTTTTGCGAGCGTGCTCTGGAGTGGACTGAAGCTTTCCTATTTGGCTTTACTGTTTTTCTTATTGCAACAAGTCGATTATTGATCTTGAACCACTTTGCACCATTTCAATCATATGTCACTGATTCCTGCTCTGTTTTTTAAATATTGTTCTCGATAACTTTGCTTTCAAAGGATTGGATTCTTTATTGTAGATTCGAAACTATAATATTTATACTGGGCAGGCTTAGTCGAATGATTGAAATTTTATTTAGAATAATCTAATTATCAATGTCTAGAATGTTTAATATACAATCCGTATATCTATTAATTGTTTATTATTTTTCTGTTTTATTTGATGTTTAATTGTAACTTGTTTGCTACCAGATTCCTTATTTTACCTAAAATCTGTTTTTTTATCGAATTTTTTGCATTTCATTATTCATGTATTCTTATTTGTTTGAGCTGACTTAATTTCTTTTATGCTTATTACTTAAAAATATATTATAATTTAATCGTCATTTCTTTTTAAATTAATACTATCGATAATCTTAATAATTTTTTTATTTATAATTTGATCGATGCGAAAGCTTTTCTTCTCGTATGATTTCATTATGTAATGGTATTATTTGTTTATCGCAACTATGGTATTCTCTTTATCTCGATAATTTATTTATTTCAGATATTTGATCAGTGGCTGTTAATTTAGTGCGAATATATTTATAAATCTATTTCATGAAATACTTACATATAATATTTTCACTAAGTTTTATTTATTGCTAATTCATAATCTTTAATTATCAAATTAATTATAATTATATTGATTAATAATATAATTTTCTTTCTTTTTAGAACGTTCTACGCTCCGACGATTTGTAATATATTTCCATCATGTTTGCTAAGAAGAAGAAGAAACCACAAATCTCAACCCCAACAAATTTTGAGCACAGAGTTCACACCGGCTTCGATAAGCGAGAAGGGAAGTTTGTTGGATTGCCATTACAATGGGCTTCTATAGTTGGGAATAATCAGATTCTAAAATCAACCAATAGACCTCTTCCATTAGTTGATCCGAGCGAGATAACACCTACGGAAATTTTAGACTTAAAAACTATAGTACGTGGTCACAATGATCCAAGAATAGGCAAGTCATCTATGGGAGAGAAAGCAGCTGAAAATAATCTACCAAAAATGAGTAGCGTTGCAAGGTCTAATTCGTTGAGATCTTCGAGTCCGCCGAGGCTCAGAAGGGATTACAGGAATAATGCAAACTTGCCTCCATCAGTCCCAGAAGGTCAAGAAATGATGAATAATCCTACGCCAACGCAAATGTACCCGACTTACAATAAACCTCATAGTTATGCCGATAAAATGAGACAAAACTCACCTAACGTTGGACCAGGAACAAATTCAGGTCATAATATGATACCAAATCTTCAGAATCTTAATCCTAATATGCAATCTTCGCCAAACCTCTCCCACATAAGTACAAACGCGCAGAACTTATCAATGAATTTCCAAAATTTGAGTCCAATTCCAAGTATGCAGAATACACCCGTCAATTCAAGCATTCCTCAGTCACAGGAGTACGATTTTCAAAGAATAAATCCATCCATGACGGTACCACAGACTGCACAGTACAATGGAAACATACAATTGTCTAAACTCGATGCATCGAAAGAGCGTTCGCTTCCGCAAAATATATTATTGCATAATGCACAACCTAAAATATCACCTGTTGGCTCAATAGCTTCTCAACGTCCTTTGAGTCAACTCAGTTCACACAACGTTACCAAACATACGCAAAACTATGTAACAGGAGAGAATCAGAACTTCCACACACACTTTCAAAAGCCCATCGAAAGTTCACAATCAATGCACAATCTTTCGAAAGCTGGTATTTTATCAACAATGCCAGGAATCAGTTCGACTCCGGATCAGAATCAAAATATGAAGAGTGCTATGTCATCTGGTAATTTAGCTGTAGGTCCTGGCGCAACAGCGAATAATTCTGGAAAACAAAGTACGGAGCAGAGACTCACTCACGAGCAATTTAGAGCAGCGTTACAGATGGTGGTACGTAGTAATATATTTCTTGCATTCCCAGAGTATCCTATTAAGCCTTGTTAATTACTATTGAAGCAGCATATTTTTGTTCCTTTTCTTTTTTTTTTTAATGGACGTACTTTTTGTTATAATTATAAATCATAAATTATAATAAGTGAACTGAAAACTATTTTATCGTAGTAAATTTTTTAGTTACAAAGGTTAAAATATCTCATCATTTCTGTATAATTTTCTTTTTTAATTAAATGTTACTATTAAAGTTGGGAATACTTTTATTATGCCAAGTTAATATAAAGATGAATTTCAACTTTGTGACAATTCGAGCTTAAATATTACTGCGATTAAACAATGTACAAGTTACGTACTATATATTTCTAGAATTAGAAATATAAAGGTAAATGAAGTAGTACGTAGTACATTGTGGCAAATCTTAAAATACTCGTTATGATTGGATAATTTTGTATTAGATTTCACCAGTTTTAAAATATTTATTTAAAATATCTAAACAATGTAGATGTACAATAATTTATAAACAATACTTAATATCTATAGCAATTGACATTAATTATGAGTGGATAAATGTATTTGAATATCAAATTTCAGAGTAAATTAATCCAAGTGAGGGCACTCTTAATTGTTTATGTGATGATTATAAATCTTAATGCAAAGCATCTAATTATATTTTAACTTTTGATATTGTAGGTGAGCAATGGAGACCCTCGCGAGAATCTTGAAAATTTCCTTAAGATTGGCGAGGGCAGTACCGGTACTGTATGCATCGCCACTGACAAAAATACCAGTCGACAAGTTGCAGTGAAAAAGATGGATCTTCGAAAACAACAGCGTCGTGAATTGCTTTTCAACGAAGTGGTGATAATGAGGGACTACCATCATCCGAATATCGTGGAAATGTATGACAGCTTCCTAGTGAACGACGAGCTCTGGGTGGTGATGGAATATTTGGAAGGCGGAGCTCTCACTGATATTGTCACGCATTCACGAATGGACGAAAGTCAAATAGCGACAGTATGCCTTCAGTGCCTTAAGCCTCTGCAGTATTTGCATTCGCAGGGTGTTATACATAGAGACATTAAGTCGGACTCAATTTTATTAACTGCGGATGGCCGGGTTAAGCTGTCAGACTTTGGATTTTGCGCACAGGTTTCGCAGGAGTTACCCAAAAGAAAATCACTGGTTGGCACGCCATATTGGATGAGTCCAGAAGTTATTTCCAGGTAAGGCTTTATGTTCTTAATAGTTGGAGTATTAGAATATTTAGATAATTCAATGTATATTTTTGTAACAATCGAATGTGCCAATAAAATTGCATCGCTTCTAGTATAAATAAATTCAGAGGATTGCAGAAAATAACACTGTTTGCATTTATTTTCTATACAGAAATTTAGATTCATTGCATAATATTTGTATTACACTATTATTACGGTGGCTTAATAAAACCGTGTATAATTAAGATCGACTAATTATTTTACTAATGCGCAATCAATCTTTTCAATTCATAGGTTACCATATGGACCGGAAGTGGATATTTGGTCTTTAGGTATTATGATTATAGAAATGGTAGATGGAGAACCACCGTTTTTCAACGAACCACCTCTACAAGCTATGAGACGCATTAGAGATATGCCACCACCAAAATTAAAAAATTCACATAAGGTAATACTATTCTCTTATTGCTTCCTTGGTCGCATAGAAGTAGATAGAAAACTGCTCTTAGTAATCATGAAGATCATCTATTGAGAAAATGATAAATATTATAGGTGAGTCCAAGACTGCAAAAATTCCTTGAGAAGATGTTGGTACGAGATCCAGCTCATCGAGCCACCGCAGCCCAATTACTGGAGGATCCATTTCTTATGCAGGCTCAAAGTCCGAGCATCTTAATTCCACTTATGAGGGGCTCTAGGCATACAAATTGTTAACTCAAATAGAGCTAGTTTATTTAATTCATAGAAGAAAAAAAGAAGAGAAAGAAGAAGCATTATCATCACGGTCCAGCATTGGAATTGATTGCATCAAGATGAACATAAAAAGTAAATTTCTAGAATATATATTGACATATATATTCAATTTGTTACTTGTAGCCAAGCATTCCTGTTCACTATAAGTGTAAAATGTTTTAAGCCTTTAACGTTAATTCACTGAAAGCATGCACTAAGTATTATAAAATACATCGAGTTTACGAGGTTTCATTAAAGTTGTAACAGCTAAATAAAAACCTATTTCCAAGTGCCTTGATGAAGTAGGATTCCTTGTTGAGGTATATATATGTATGTATGTATGTATGTTGTATGTATGTATGTATGTATGCATGTATGTGTGTATGTATGTGTGTATGTATGCATGCATGTGCGCGCGTGTGAGTGATGTTTGTGCGCGCGCGTGTTTATACATATATATCTGACACTTTGTTCATGTTGTATTGAAGTTTTATTTTATCAATACAGTGAATATCGTACATTTGTTTTTTTGTATTTTTCTTTTTCTTTTACTTTAACATTTAAAATTTTTCCTCATCAAATGTGCCTCTTTTCAACGAGGTTTACAGTCACTTCTTTCCATTACATCAATTTAAATATTAATATTAATTGTATGTACATTACTCGAGGTTCATCTTTCACCAAAGGCATTTTCAAACTTCCATACATTTATTAATATTACATTGTGTTTATATTCATTCCTTTTAGTCATTTGAAATAGGCAGCTCATAAAACATGTGCATATACACATGTGCACATGTAGGCACGTTTACGTGCGTGTATTTTAGGTATGTATATATATATATATACATACACACACACTCGATACTTTAACCAAGTTGAATCCATTAGTACTTAAACATGACTTATCGATGTTTTTGTTTTTGGAAAAATCTAAGAACTAATTATTAATAATGATGAAATTAAGCTAATTAATTATTAGCTTTTGCATTCCACACAGAAAAATGGATATGTGATATTTTTTATTGGCAAACGTTTGAAAAAAGAAGGCAAGCGACAAAAAAAGAGCCCGAGAATGAGAAGGGGGGGGTGGGGGCGTGACAGGGGAAGCGAAAGAAAGAGAGAGACATTTTGAAAATGATTTTTTTTTATTATATAGACTTGTATTGTTGAAAAAATTTACTAATTCAGACTTTATATACATTTTTATGTAAATGGATTGTTGAATAGACGTAAAGGATTATAATATCACGTTAAGAAACTTTAATTATGCGCGGCGCTTGATCTTGTGATCATTTGCACTTAAGATTCTAGCAATATTATTTTGTATATGCAAAGATTCATAAGATTAAATTGTATTTTCGATAATGCAAATTGCATCACTTAACTATGAAATTATTTTCATTGAATAAGTTCTTATACTAGATTATTGATTTTTATTACTTCTTTATGCTAATTCAATTTAGCTACAAAAGTACAATATGACATTGTAAATATATGAAAGCTATAAGATAAAAATAAAAATGTACCCAATTTTTTTTATACCTAGTGTTTGTATTATTTAATTGACATCCCTTTTAGTAAAATCCAAGCATGAATTGTTAATTAGCACATAAGCGCTTATTTTAGAAGATTTAGAGAAGGTATAAAGTACGAGTAATACCATGTAAGTTTATCGATATAAATTGTATATGAAGAGTATTGTATAAATAGCGGATAAGCGGCTGGATGATTATCGAAAGAATAAATAAATTTGGACGTTAAAATGCATAGTCCGTAACTAATAATGAAAATGAAATGGAAATTTACAGTAGTCAAATAGTTATTAGTTGAAAACGGACGGACGATAGAATGGAGGAAGGAGATGTATATATATATATATGCAACTACACGTGGATATGCGCGACTAGCAAATTATTCCTTATTTAATGAACGAGCAAAATACAAATTGATCGAGCGCGCTGGGACGAGGAAGAAATTTCTTTCCTCGGTCGATCAGATTGAAAATTTTCCATGATAGTTCGAGCTCCGAGGCGCTGTCGTCACGTCTTGGCGCCCCGTGAATTCCGAGCTGTCTGGGCAATGGGTATCGGCACCGATCCTGTCGCTTCGAATGCGCGATTACAGGCAGAATGCGCCCGAAGGTCGATTTCGTTGCGAATAGTGAATATGTGCAAGAGGCAGCGACGCGATTACTGGATGACGACGGAGGCATACGCGAAGCATAAATGAAAAGCGATATGAGCGCGCGATCGTTGCATAATTGTACGGATATTAACTTTCATCGATTTTTCTCCACTCGATTGAGCTCGTACATATAGTGCGGCACGTAATTTATTTTCAAATTAAAATGGATTCATTGTTAATCGAGGCTTGATTAGGGCCAATTTTTAAGACTGCCTATGGATATTCGCTAATTGACGCGGAAACTTCGCAGTCGAAACGATTCGTTTTTATTAATTAAGCATACTAATGCATTCGGGCGGGAGATGCTTTACGATAGAAATAATTATTATACGTAAATAGTTGTACGACGAATGATTTTTTCTAATCTTTTCTTTATTCGCGAATGGCTGCATTTCAATCAATCGACGAATAAACGATGAATTTTATCCTTAAGCTTACAGTCGTTTAGAATAAAGTTGAAGGTCAATTATCAATTTGTAATGTTCTCAGCTCCATGCTTACTTCAAAGTGCGCTTAATTAAACAACTAAATTACCTTTGATAATTAAAATGTGAAAAATTATTTTATATTGCAATATTATGGAAGGAAGACATCGATATATATAAAAAAAAAAAAACGTGGGCAGCTCGTTTAATAGGCTGAAATAATATTTGAACTAAAATTTCAAATTTCATATTATTAATAATAATGCTTTCTCCTGTATGTATGCCGAAGCGTGGGGACACTGTAAGAAGCTTCATTATTTATTGCCAGTACCCATCGACGTTTTGTAAATATTTTCATTAGGTTCCATGATAATATGGTGCCGTACGAATATTACAACGAGCACTTAAACTCAATGCATATGTACGATAAATAATCGCTTGATTGGTCTATTTATTCGTAAGTCAGTTATCGTATTATGAAAAGTTGGACCTGCGACTTTGTCTGCAACATCGTTAGCCATACACACGGTGGCTTATTATTTAACATCTACGCGTAACGCTAAGTAATTGATATTGAAACGCCATTTTAACGTTCTGCCTTGTAAGAGAATGGAAAGAGGAAAGAGTAGAGAATAACCGATTGTCTTTTATTTAGAAAAGGCAATGCCGTTAAGCAAGTTGCCGTTAAGCAAAATGATGAAAAATCCATTGAACATATGGGGAGTTACTTAATCAGATAATCAGATAATCAGTATATCGAGCGGCTGGAAATAAATTTGTAGCTTGGATGAGTGCCCGATCCTCTTCGTATTCGCATTTAAGACCCCGTAGCGATCAAGCGTAACGAATGCCGTAGCGTCGATGAGAAAGAAGAAAGCGCGACTTAGTCGTTTCCTTGAATGGATGACGGGGACAATGGCAAGACAGTGCACAAAAAGTCCGTGTTAAAGCACAGGCGAGCGAGAGGAGAGCCGGAAGCGGCGCCCAAGCGACTTGTAGTAATCAATGAGTGGGGCATTAATAAGGTGGCGGTTCTCGGTGGGGGCTGCCGACGTCGATGACGCGTCATCGGCTGTTACCAGGCGCTTTCAGGGAGGCTGAGAGCGCGGCGATTGGCCGATCGGAACGGCGAGCCTCTGACCTTGGCATACCGCTCGAGGAGACGCGTGTCGAGACGCATGTACGCGGACACTCCCCGACGGCTGATGCAAGTATGGGCTCCCCTTTCGTGGTACCTGCGTTTGTTCGATGAGATTTCTGCTACAGGTAAAAGAGACCGTTTAGTCGTCCTCCTATTTGTCAAGTTGGCGCCCTCGGCGACATCGTGGCTACAAGCAAGCAGTCGAGCAGTCATTAAGCCGACAAAAGTTGATAATCATTGTCTTTCACTGGTATAATGCCTTGCCAATGCTTTATCCTCGAATCTGTGCTTTTCACTCAACGCGAACACCAATTGTTGCAATGCATTAGGTACGCGATTCGCGTTGAAATATCAACAATTTAGTGGCCTGTCCCGATGATACAAATTCCTAAGAATTTAATATAGAATTAACATATAAATCATACGATCTTTTTTACGACCAAAGAATGACGCAGTTGAATATAGATGGAAAAATTTTCGGTCAATCGTATTGGTTCGAGAATTTGTTTATTTTGATGCTCGTTTTAACTCTGCGCGGTCCATTGAATCGCTGCGGGAACTTAATTTTCCAAATTTTCTTCGGTTTCCAAATAAACTCCGGTCAATTTTTGAAAGTCCTTATCATCATTTAAATCATTTTAAACGAGGAAAATCAATAATGAATCTACATTATACTTTATTGTTATTATTATTTTTATTATTTTTTTTTTTTTTTTTAAATCCGACTTTGATCAGCTCGATTTGATCTTCGTCGTTAATTATGAACTCTTTAATCGCACCACAAATGTCACGCGTCTCTCAGCGTAACGTAAATTGTACGCGAAACGAGAAAAAGCATGGTCATGCTCGGCAAAGCCTCAGGGCTTAAGAAACAATTTGTTACGAATTTTTTTTATTCATTTTCTATTTTCATTATTTATGATTCATTAGCGGCCAATAAGAATTATATTATTGAGCATTGCTCCGTTTAATTCTATGTTACCAGCAATTTCATAATTTTAAATTACGTTTCAAATGTTTTTGCACGGAAGAATTAAAAAGTTGTATCGTCAGTAACTTTTAAGCCTTTTCGTTTAAATTATTTATTGTCCTTTAAACATTAATTTAATTTATTAATTATATAAGTATATCCAGTAGTTTTATGAAATACTTCTAAAATAAAATCCATCGCCGTACTCTTCGATTTAAATCCATGTTTAATTGATAGAATATTTACACGGAAATGTAGCATTTTCTATGAAAATTCAAATTTATTACGTCATTTGTTATAATTTGACGTTTTGATAAGATAGGAAAGTCTTAATATTGGTTTCATTACATGTTACTTCGATCGTTTTATAAATAGCTGAATCTAGACGGGTTAAGTTACTTTTCACCTTAAAAACGCAATAAAGACGTAGAAAAGAATTTTGCTAAGTTTACTTTATATATTTAACGAATCTAATAATTATATCTGTTCATTGTACAATCGCATGAATAATTATTACTGTTGAATTTACTTTGTATAATTAAACATTACCCATGCGTATTAATGCGAATAGACATCTTTCTTATCTGCGTAAAAAATGTGAAAGTTCGTTCAAAATGTTTGAAGAGTTTTACTTAGCCATATAATACATATTAAATTTTTATGTAAATATTGTACATATATTTTTTGTGTTAAGTAGATATGAACAAAGAATATATTAATTACATTATTTATGTTGCGTCTCCCCTTAATCCCAAGTCTTTGAACATTCTATTATTTATAATAGTTAACATGTCTATTATATATTAACGTTACCATTTTTTTTTCTTTTTTAATTTACATTGTTTATACAAACAAATGAAATAAAGAAACTATAGAAATATACAATTACATATAATTATAAATTTACTTTTCTATATTTGCATAATTTATGAGAAGTTATTATAATACAGAGCCATTTGAAGCAAAGCATATGTTACTTTATTAATATTTTGATAATAATATACTTTTTACGGTTTGCTAATATAAATTATTAGAAATTTTATAAATATATTTATTAATGTTAATGAATATTAAAACTTTTACTCAATTATCTTTCAAATGTAGAATGGAATAAATACATATGCCTTTTAACATGAACAGATAAGCACAAAAATATCAAATTTAATTTCATACATATGTATTATTCATTGTATTACTTATACAATATTTGATTAAAAATAAATATGGACGTCAAACGAATTGGCCATTTCAATTGAAAAACCTAGTCACCAGAAATTTTTATTTGTAAAATTTTTTAAACATGTACAATGGAAATCTTATTATTTTCAAGTGTTTGAAATTTGGAGATAATTCAATTTATCGGCTTAACAAAAAATTTTAAGTGCAAACGAAGATATTAATTAATTTATTATATTAAAGAATAAGAATTAAAGAAACAATTAATTTATAGTACAAGTAATAATGACAATTTATAGTACGAATATACTATCTTTCATATATTTTATATGCGATAGTGACATAATTGAACTTTTTAATCGATTAATGTACCAAACGATTAGAAAAATCATAAATTTAGAAGCTATTTTTCTTTTTAAACTAAACCATAAATTGTAACTATATTATTATATCGTTTTCTATTATTCTTTTATTAAAATATACATTAATAATTTTGTTTTTTAAATCGCATTATAGAATTTCGACTTTTTCGAAATTTCCAAGTCTTACTATATGTTCCCAGAGATACGCTCGAGAAAATTTTCAACGTATTAAGAGTCGAAAAGTTGAAAAATACAGAAGGGAAGCAACATTGTCCAGTATCGCGTGCGCGAAACAATTTGTGACGAGACGCATTCGCAATATCGATGCTGCGGAATGACCTTATTAAACGCGAAATTTTTTATTAAAAAAAATCGAAGAAGATGAGATGACGAGCCTCTGAACATCAAGATTCATTGCGAGTATGTGCGTCACAAATCCTGGCAACGTATCTTCTTTGCACTTTATGCAATTGAAAATCTTTGTCCGTTTTCATTGAATTTACGTATGTTGATACTCAAGGGATAAGCTTCTAGACTTATTTTGCCTATTAATTTTTGTTATTATCTATACAATATATTTTTGTTATAACTAATTTTCAGAACATAATTCATTATAACTTGTAATTAATTTATTAAATAAATTATAAGATGTTGTAGCTATCCAAAATTATTCACGATGAATGAAAACGAATGTGAAATATATATATTTTTTTAAATTAAAATAAACGTGATTAATTTTGAAATAATTACAATTTTTTTACTAAAACATTTCAACAAATATATATATAATTTAATTAAGTGTTTAAAGAGATGAATATCAATTGATGAATGGTTTTAATTAATGAATATCTTAAAGAAATATTTTTATTAAATAAAAAATTTAGATATATATTAAAATATAGTTGAAAATATTTTATTAACCTGTTTCATAATATTCGAGATTTCTTTTTTCTTGAAAATCGTTCTAATGTTTAATCGTGTTTCTTTAAGTGTACGTAAAGTTCCAGCAAAAAGATGAATAATTTGCCAAAATAGTTTTATAAAATGTATTACGTAGGTATCATAAGTGGTCCCAGCAACAGAGAAATTTTTTGTGAAAAAAATATTTACCATTTCCTAAAATCTTGTATTTGCTTATTAATAAGAAGAAGATTGTAATCTTCAATATCGGACCACTATCACATTATTATTTTTTATTCGTGCATCTTTTAATTAAATACGATAGGTAATTATTGGATAAAACAGACAATTGTCAAGAGCCAGCGATTTAAGTAATTTTTAATTACATGCGAACAATAATCCGATACTTTCGCAAAAATAAATCATCAGTTTTTCTTTATTATAACGAAACACGTATTTTTTTAATTATATATTTATTTACTTATTTATTATAAACCCCATTCAAAATGGCTTCTAGATAAGTTTTTGCCGGCTTTAGAAGGTTTATAGCCATCTAGTTTACGTTAATAAATTATAATACACTGCGATGGGAAATATAGTAATTTTTATTTGAAGAAATTAATACGCGAAAGTTCGATAACAATAAAATTAAATTAAGCGACCGATTATGAATGGGTGGGGGTGGGTCAAATGCGTGGAAGAACATATACGTTAATGCAATTTGATGTTTTTTTTTTTTTAAAGCAATTTGACACTACGTATAGATTTTCAAAATATTAATTTGTTTAAAGTTTAAGCATCTTATGCCCAGCTTATGAATAGAACATTGATTGCAATTTAGAGTTTTCCAATTTATATGCGCTTTTTCTTCTAAAACTAAAGCTATGAATTTATTGATAATAGAGAGATTTTAAATTAATTTCAGCACATGATGCATCGCTTTTATGTCTATGTTACTCAACACTTGTTGAATCTTAATTAATTTATCTATAATTATTAATAAAAATCAAGGATATATTATTACTTCAAAATGATGAACACAGCATCGTTAAAAAGCATGACATTCGTCATTGCATCATCGGTAGACTACTTGTTTTGTATAATCGATGAACAAATTTCCAATAAATCGAACTTTACACAAATACGACATTCAAATCCGCCTAAAAGTTCATGGCGATGCGCCCATTTGATAGAAACCTGTCTGATTGTCAGCCCACGAGACGCCTTCGGAATTTTGAAGTAAAAGAAATTGAACGAACATTTATGCGAGTTGGAAGGCTCGTCAGGGGCACAGATGCCTTTCTCTTACGGGATTGGCGGAAAGGAGAGCCGAGCCTCCGAGTATGCGCTAACTGATGACGTCCCATGTACATTTAGTCCCGAGCGATCGCTTATGTTTTTTTCTTTTCCTTGTGCATGCAAAGCTTTTACGTTAGCAATTGAGAGAGAGAGAGAGAGAGAGAGAGAGAGAGAGAAGTGGGGCTTGACGAGGATTGAGGAGGGGGAGGAGGGAAGGAGTGGGAATGCCGTTGCCGGTGTTTAACCTCGGTCAGGATTGTCAAGTGTTCAAAGTAACTTTTTGTGGTGGATTCCCAGGAGATTTTAAGGATGAGATTTATCGTCTTTGTGGATTATTGACAAACTGTAAAACTTTTATTTGCTGATAAAAATAAGTTTACAGAATGTTTGGCAAAACGCATGGAAATATATGTATCTCGAATTAAATATAATATTTGGGTTATGTATGCTTTTAGTTTGTGTTTCATCAAAATAATATAATGCATTTTTCACTTGAGATGATCGTTACTCGTTTAAAACTATTTTCTAAAGTTGGCATCTATTTTTGTAATAATAATACTCCCTCTTTAATTCATAATATCCACTAATTATATTTTACCATTTTATAGAATATCACAGTTCGCGGTCGTAGTTGGCGATCGTTCAGTTTTATTTATAATTCTAGCATTTGCTTGGCCGGAGGTACCACCTTGTAGTTTCTCTAACTATCGTAATTTATTCATGTATGATATAATAGAGCAGAAAAATATTTGAATACACGATGATAATATTTTACCACTATGTGCTTAATTTATTATCGCATATAATTTTTATTTTAGAATACCGTGATTGAAAAAATAGAATGAAAATTACCTTGCTCCTTATTTGTGTCATGGAATTTAGAATGAATTACTTTTCTGAGAAAGTAAAAGTGAGAATATTTGTAAATAACAAGTTGATCAGAATAATTAATTAAATAATAATAATTTAAATTCTTATTATTCAAGTTGTAATGTAAGAAAAACACAAATAACGCACAAGTATTTATATTGACGTAAGGTACGATTAATACTGTATTTCTATTTTACAATTTTTCGTATAATTAGTGGTTGATTTTCATTAATATTTAATTATAGATTACAAAATTTATATGTTTATCTACTCAAATTATCTCAATGAAAAATTGTGTAAAATAAAATTCGTTTGAATTAGTTGATACGATAATTTTAACTTGAGATATTCGTTAATATAGCTCTCGAGATTTTTTGCAAACCATAAAGTTTTTCTACTAATTACAAATTTTTACAATCTAAATTTCTGATAATTTTTTTAAATTACACTTCAGTTTATTTTATAATTATTATAACATGCATTATTTAATGAAAATTATTAAAAATTTCTTCATCGACGTAATTATTAGCAATACTTTTGAGTGACAATGAATTAAATTTTTTATATAACACATTTAAGTAATTTAATGTATACATATTCTAAGATTCTTTATAGGATAATAAAAAATATGAAAAATGATAGTTCTATTAGGCATTTGCAAAATTTTACAAAAACAATAAACGAAATAAGTTTTGTTTACATGCTATAAATTTGTTTTAGCCTCAACATGAATTTTAAAGCAATTATGAAAATATAATTATATTAAAACATTAATATTTATATAGAATGATAATTCAAGATATCTAAAATTTAACAAATATGTTAAAATCTTAGAAATATCATATCGTACTTTTTATTTAAAAGTCTCCTCTTTAAAATGTTAAAATATTTATCACAAATATTATCACCAATGCGATGAAAATTGCAAATAAAGAACTTGTATTAATACATCAGAAAAAAGTTGAAAGCAATGATTATTTAGAGAAAAACGCAGTAGCAGTAAGTAACATAATAGAGCGTTGCTTCTCATATAGTTTGTCATACATTTCTAATACTACGTTTGTGTATTGGAAAAAAAAAGTCCAAAATGACGAGCCTATTTGCCCATCCGCTGAATGGACCATTCCTGTTGGCAGAGCGGACAACGATTGTTCTGTTTGACCCATAGGGACATGCAACAGTAGTGAAAGGAGTGGTTGCATTCGCCCCAGACAACCACGCAGTCTTGCTTTTCGTAGAAATCTTTTTTGCTTTCAGCTTGACAGCGGAGACATGCATCTATGACAACAAAACAAAAACAAAACATTTAGTTGATTATATAGAATCACTCGATGGAATGTAATATTAGATCAATCTGGCACATATTAAAGATTACAAAATGATTATATTATTGTCCGATTATTTTAAATATGTATTTTGCTATCTTATTGGATAGCTTGAAACGAAACGTTAACAATGATGAACATATTTTTTTTTTGCAAAGCTAAAACAGTGAACTTGAATATAAACTTTGAAATGGTATCTGAAAAATATTGCTTATATATTGACACAGAGAAAATAGATTGGCAAAATACTAACAGCTAATAAATCCGAATTTCAACCCGATGAATATTCTGGATATAGAAATTAGTAGTAAACTTGCACAGTTTGCAAATTTTAAAAGAAATAGTATTTATAGTGGAAAGTATGTAGTAAATATGTAAACTAGGTAATGCGTCAAAATTATTAAAATAATAAATGATCTTTTGATTGAATGCTTACAGCACAATTGAATACAAAAGAACCTTGTTTTCAAGAAGCTTCTATTGACATTAATGAATTAAAAATAATAAAACTCCAAGAATTGACAAAGTAATAGAGAAATTAATTGAACACAGAGTAGTAATAGTATTAATTTTTACAATTTACAAGCTTCTTTGAATTAAATGAATTAAAAAAAAACTTTTAATTAATCTTATGCAATATTTGTACAATTGTTTTTATTAATTATTATTTTAATTATTAGATTGCAAAGTTATAGTAATTATAAACATTTCAATACTCTTGATAATTTATAATACTCCATATCGATAAAGCTTATTTTTACTATATTAACAGCTAACGATACAAACAAAAATAATGTTTTCAAAGTACTATTCGAAGGTACTTTAAAAACAACCTAAAGTTATTTAATAAATATTCAAATACATCACGTCTTTATGACCATTTAGGATTAATAATTAATGAATAATATAAAATTAAAAATTAATATTAGCAAATGTCATTTTATTCAAAATTTAGGGCATATTTAAACATTTCATACATTCAATTATCAATTTAGCAGATAAATTTAAATATTGCAATAATATAATAAATAATGATAATTAATTTAAAGATACTACATAAAAAACGGAATAGAGGCATATGGAAATAAGTTATCATATACTGTAAAGCTTTAAATACTTTTTTTAATAAAACTTTTTTATAAATTAAGGGTAATGAATTATAAATATAATTTAATATGGCTATGTTTGTAACTAGAATGAAAAAACTATTAATGCTAAACGTCTTATTCTATGAAAAAGTTATATAAACAGAAATTAATAATATTAAAATCGATCGAGGCAATGATTTGAAGACATCTTTAAATTAGATAAAAAGTTAAAGGTACACTATGTACTTATATATTAATTGAGAAAAATAGAAAATAAAGTTTTATACTTCTATCGACGAGTTAACAAACTTTCTATAATACTAGTTTGTAATATAAAATGTATAATACTAGCTTGATAGCCGTTATGTAATAAAATTATTTTACGAATTCATTTAATATAATGTTAAAAATAATTTTTGCTTTACTTAACCGTATTAAAATATTCTCATATGCACTATTGTATCAATAGCTTTTTTTATAATGTGAAAGCATTAATGAGCTTCGTACAAAGTAATTGTATGATCTCAAATCCCAAGTTATTTAATAAATGAATAAATTATTTATTGAAATTATTAAAATATGGTTATATAAGAGTTCTTATCTAAATATAAATATATATATATATATATATATATATATATATATAAGAAATAATACATAATTATTTCGATTGTATTTGGATGAGAATAAAAATCTATTTATTTATATTTATATTTATGACTATATTTGTCATGATTTAATTGAGTAAAAAATTTCTTTACGTTTAGGTTTACGTAATGGTTTTATATATCCTCCAGAAAGAAAATTTACTAGTATATTGAAACGAAAGAAAAAATTATTTTTTAATATATATGAAGTAATTCTTTATTAAAAATTAGAATTAATTTTTATCAAACATAATTTGTCGTCGTTGTATACTAATTATTTTTTATATCAAATAATACATTACGAAAATTTTAATAAATTTTCTATTTTAATAAATCAACAATTCAATTGTTTTTTATTATCAAATTGTACACTACAATAAAGCAACATCTTTAAAACAAATCATGAATTATATTTTCAACTTTTATTACTAGTATACTATTAAGTATTGTCGTAGAAACTGTCAAGTTTGAATTTATATAATAATATATCAAATATTTTATACAAAAATATGTACAATATTACATATTTTAAGATATAGCATATCGAAAAAAATGGCAATTAATAGCAACGTTCAGTTACTAGATAATATTTCAAATTCGTAGTGTACAAAAATTCTATAAATTTTTATTTTTTTATAAGGAGAAATATATATAATCATAACTTCGGTAATTCGTTAATGAATGATATACAATTACATTATGTTTTTTAACATACCAAATATTTTTCATAAATGACTTTAAATTATCTACAATTTAAGTTGATATGTAAGGTTCGTTTTATTTTAGTTATAAATTTACATATTATTAGAAATTTAGATTAATAATTATTATTCATTTTCAGAATTATTTTTTCATAAACATGCATTTATTGCTTTGTTATAAACTTTTATTTAATTGAACTAGAATTGATTTCTATTTTATTTATATATTATACATAACTAGAGTTTATTCTAATTTTATAATCATTAATTTAGAAATTAGTACGTCCTGTTATTGAAATAAACAAAAATTAATTAGGATAGAATTACAGAACCTTGAAATTGCATAATTATTTAGAATGATAAATTGTAATACTGCTATGAGGGTTTTTAAATGCTTTATATGTATTTATTGTTTTATATTGTAAATTTTTGTTGTTCTTTACATTTTTATATAATATTTTCATCATGGCAATTATTAAATATTAATTTTTATTTTTTGTATTTGTAGTTGGAGCAATAGAAATACATAAAATTTTAGTATTTCTTAAAATACCATGTAATATTATATTTCATTGAAATTCATGTGAAAACCTAAATATTTATCATTCCATTAAATAAAGTAAACATATCAATATCGACATTAGATTTCAATTGTCAAAATAATTTTCTATATATTATATACCAAATAAATTACAACGAAACAAACGAATTATTATTTAACTACATTATTTAAAGAAAATATATACTTTGTAAAATAAACGATATTATTGAGAAATTTTAACCAAAGTGATAAATGATAAATTGTATTTAATAATTTTTATGGTATTTCATTAACAGGATATTGATAATAAATATATTACGAAAGTATATGACCAATGTAAAATATCAATAATTTGATCGATTTGACATCGATCAAACTATCGGATACGATAGAGTTGTCTCCAAGGAATATTCCACTGTTTCATCTGTAGCGATTTGCTGCTTAATCGCTTTGTTATGCTCTATTGTTAACAATATATCCGACCTACAAGGTGGTAGCGATAAAACATTTGAATATATACTTTTTTTTTTATAATTTAAATGCATATGAAAAGTATACCGTATAATTTTTTTTATAATATTGTGTAGTAAAATACGTTTATGTATTTTCCATAATTTTTTATATTTTATTTTGTACTTCAACCATTAAAGATAAATGGTTTAAGTATGATTTTCAACTTATTGTTTTTGATTAATCGATCACAATTTGACTGTCATGTATTTAATGGAAATAGGAAAGGTTTAATTAATTAGTAAAATTATAAAGTCGGATAATATGATAGAATTAAAAGTAAGTCTTCCGATTTACCTCCCCTATCTAGCAAAAATTGGGCGAACGACTAATTTTAATAGTACTAAAAAGTGAAAATATTAAAAGAACTAAACGTAAATTATCATATTTTTTATGTTGTACGGCAATAAATTATAATTTTAATATACCGAATGATATGAAGGAATCGGAAAGCTTTGAACAATCTTTCTTTCTAACTGGAATTTTCTATAGGAAATGATCAATGTAATAAATAAATAAATCTTTAAAAAAAAATAAAAAAAATTATATATATATATATATATATAGATTCGTAGTATATAGCACGCTTAACAAAATATTGCAATTACATTATTCCGATTATTATTATTGTTATTACATTGCTTTGCTATCACATATGACATCATAACTTTGTAATTATATATTGGTGCGTGATATTAATCGTTCCACGTGCTTTAAATAAAATATAACTAGAGATACAATATTTTCAGTTTAATATTAATACAAGTCGCTCAATAAAAAGCAAATACTATTAAATGGAAGGATAAATTGCTAATAGAATGAGAAAAACGGTCGGATGTCTCATGAAATTTGAATTTTAAAGTATACACCCGTTATAATGACACGATGAAGCCTCTAGCCGGTGAAAAAGTTCCATACACGCGGGCAATTGTCGTTTGTTAATATGAAGACTAACCGGCATAAAGCGTCTCGAAACGTATTGCCGCTATTTAAAAGTAAAAAGTAAAAAGTCAAAAGTCAAAGCGCGACCGACTGCGTTCGATTAGCCCTGTCCGAAGATATTGACATACCCCTCATCGAGATAACCATTGTCAATTGTGATAAACGTTCCCTTGGCCGACCATTATTTTTATATGTATATTTCCATGACGAGCTCTTTCTCGATCATTCTCGATCTTTCGATCTCTAATTCAATTTATATGATTTTGATATCGACGATTTGGTCCATTCTGTAACTTATTGTTCCGTAACTTAATTTTATCGTTTTAACGAGTACATATTTGGATTATATAAATAGCGTGTTTTTATAATTTAAATACAACTGTACTATTTTTACATATGTTGATTGATATATGTTCTGCAGCTGTTTTAGGATTTGTAATATTTTGTTCATTCTCATTTTACTGCACAATAAGCAACGAAGCATTAATTTTTATTAATTCACTAATGTATTTTGGATTTTGTAA